GAAAATGTGTAACTTTATACTGCTTACTGATGTTGATCATGTCTCAAAGGGCAGAGTACAGTGGTGGGAAGTTCTGTCATGTTTATTGAGGCTGATTTGGCTCAGATTCCCACCCTGTAGATTTCATCTGGGCATGAGGAAAGGTGGAACTTGGCCTAGGCTGGCATTACACATTGCAACCCTAAATGTCAACATCAAGTAGCTTTTGAAGATGAAAATGCAGCAGAACAATTCAAGAGGCAAAATACTAGCTCTTGCCAAAGTCTAAAAATGTTCCACTTTTATTTCATTGTCATACAAGTGAAACAGAGCTTTGAGGCAAAAAATACTGAAAGAAAATGGATGGCAGAAGTAACACAAATCTGGTAGGGTGCTGTGGTGTGTAGTTACCACAGCTGGCTCTCACTTATGCTTTAGCCCCAGTTTGCATACATTTTTTGAGATAAATTTGTCTTAAGTTGGTTGATGTGTAGGCACTAGGATTCATTAAACTTTCTGAGGTCCCTGAGGAAACATACCTCATCTTTATTGTCGTGTCCCCGTGGCTGTGAATCTTGAGCATAAGGAGTGACAGTGACACTAATCAAATCAGCTGGAGACAGCTTAGACACCAGGGGCTCTCCTGGAAGGGGGCTGCAGTGGCAGGGTAACTCCTGCATCTGGAATTTTTCCTTATCACTGTGTCAAGACTTCGTAAAACAGAATCACCTAAATCTCTCTACCAAACCACTCTGTGGATGTTGAGTATTTGGAACCCTCGATTGTCCGTTGCAGCCTCGCATAGTGAGATGCAAGTTGGATGAGTTTCAATTGTCTTAATTTGACACAGGTATGAGAGGTACTTGGTCTGAGTCAAAGATGTGTGCATTTGTTAGCCTACATCCCATCCCTTTGGCCAGGCAGAGAGGTGTAGGAAAAGTCCAATGCCCGAGCAGAGCTGAACCCTTCCAGCTTCCAGTGGCTGAGGGTTCAGGGACTCCCTAACCACACCTGTGGCTCAGTGATCAGTAGTCTCCGAGACTCCTGCTACGTCCGTTACTCTGGTATTAAGCGTGTAGTTTAGTGCTTTTTGAATACTTAGGTGTCCACAGTATTGTGTGACTGAATTCTAAAACTATTGTGTGACAGTAATACTTCCATAATCTTGCTACCTTTTTATTCCATTTGATGCTTTTCGATTTCTGTCTTATGAGAAACAGCAAACAATTGTTCTCTGTTCATCTTCTCTGCGACATTTGTGGGTTTGTGTGCCTATCATAGCTTTTATCTCTTCCAGGCCTGCAGTATTTTCGGTTATTAAATCTTCTTCCAAAGCTATTTTATACTTCTGCTTGTGCTTTTTTTCCTTTCATTATCCTTAGCATGCTTTTTTTTTTTAACTTCTATTACAGTGTAAGTTGTGATAGCCTTGGAAATGAAGAGTGAGCATCAAAATTAAATCCTGGTCTTTTACAGTCTATGTGTATAGTGAACGCTTGTTCGACCAGTCAACTTTTAAACTTTGAAGAGAGAAGCAATGCTTTTGTTCTTAATGTGGGCACTTGCAGCAGTGTACAAATCTGTGTCCTTTGGAATACCTCTGAACACCAGCTGAGTGTGTTAGTAGATGTGGTGGGTTGGTATGTAGTATGGGAGCCATCATATTTAAAAGCTGACATCTTGCGTGGTTAGCACAGTTGCAGTATTAGAGGTTTCTGTTTGATCTCACAAAGTGGTCAGTGCGGTGATTGTAATTGAGTTTGAGGTATGCCAGAGAAAGAGGAATTAATACAAAAGTAAGAAAAAACAACTACATTGCAGCATCTCAGAAGCAGCCAAAGCATTATATGATGAATGTAAACTTAGAAATACTGCCACCTGATGAAGTAAAAGCTAATTCAAGGAAATGCTGAGGTGTTTTATGGAACAAAGGGTGTAGGATTTTTGCAGTATTACAACAATATTGTTGCTTATAATAGTACTGAGTTTATCAAGGCATAATTTAGTTTGTGCTTCTCTGGTTCATTTCAGACATCAGTGAAGTTTGGGGTTTGCATTTCTGTTTGTTTTTTTTTCTTGAAAAAAAAAAACAAAAACCCAAAACTTCTAATGATTAGAATGTGTTGAGGAGTCAGGTCTGGTCAGGCCAAAGTTCTTTTACCTCTGTGAGGCATCTTCTGCACCTTTCAGGTTTCTTTTCAGAGATAAAATTATTGGGGAATTACCTATTTTGCTGTATGCTTACATGATTTTTTTTGCTGGGGCAAGGAATTGTCCCCCCTAAAACTAAAGCAGATTATAAATAGCACTAATATAGATTGCAACTGGGGTATTGCTAAGTAGGTCCTACAGACTTGGCTTCCTTTTTCCCTTTTTCTTTTTCCCTTTTTCTTTTTCCCTTTTTCTTTTTCCCTTTTTCTTTTTCCCTTTTTCTTTTTCCCTTTTTCTTTTTCCCTTTTTCTTTTTCCCTTTTTCTTTTTCCCTTTTTCTTTTTCCCTTTTTCTTTTTCCCTTTTTCTTTTTCCCTTTTTCTTTTTCCCTTTTTCTTTTTCCCTTTTTCTTTTTCCCTTTTTCTTTTTCCCTTTTTCTTTTTCCCTTTTTCTTTTTCCCTTTTTTTCTTTTTTCTTTTTTCTTTTTTCTTTTTTCTTTTTTCTTTTTTCTTTTTTCCTTTTTCCTTTTTCCTTTTTCCTTTTTCCTTTTTCCTTTTTCCTTTTTCCTTTTTCCTTTTTCCTTTTTCCTTTTTCCTTTTTCCTTTTTCCTTTTTTCCCTTTGTCCAGGCCTGTTCTCATTCAGCACTTCTCTGACGTTTGCACAGCTCCTCAGCTGTGTGTGTCCTCCGGTGCCAGGCTCACAACTCCTCAGCAGCTGAGCACGCTTCAAACTTCCGTCAGCCTGCAGTGCTCTCAGACAGTGATGGCCTGAGATAAAGCAGAGTAGATACATATCTGGGTTCCGATTTGTGCACTATATTTGTACTTAAATGGCTGAGTAGTTCTAGTGTTGTGGTGTAATGAAACCTGAGTGTTGCTACTTCAGAGCTACGCCTGCAAATGGCTTCTGCCGCAAAGCTTTTGTTCCTGTGCCACAGGTAGTCTCAGTTTGGTCTGTCCCTTCAGTGGAGATGGGAGTATTTTCTGAGTCATCATATTCTGTATGAAGCAGAGTTTAAAATGTGTCGCAGGTAATGTCAGCATCTTTCAGTTTCCCAAAGCTTTTAATGTGCAGTTTGACTTACAGTGTGCCTTCAACTGTATCAGGTGAATAATTCAATTAAGTCTATGCAGAGAGGTGGTTACAATGGCTTTTAACTGCAAGGCTGTGAGGAGGACAGGAACAAAGCTAAATGTTTTAGGCCATTAGGTCAGTGTTGAACAGTTTCATATGTCCCAAAGAACCTCATGTGTTCAGATGAGACATTCTCATCTTACTCATCCATCCCCTGCAGCATGCGCAGTGTCTGTAGGAGGTGTTTGTAGGCCAGGAGACACTGGGATGTAGTGTAGCTGTGGTTGTTCTATGTAGCTTACGAAACCTGCTTCTTGGTGCTGTGTCTTTCCCAGCTGTGTTTAGGGCCAGATTCCCATGTCTTTCCTGTAACAGGTACCTGCTAGTCCTTTTCTTAAGATACGTTTCTGTTACTGAACTCTGTGTGCAGGTGTGTACTAGGTATTGCTCATCTGTTACGTGACCTGGTGAGTGGAGCTTCACACACCAAGGCATGAGAGGCTTAGGGGTGCATCTGCAGAGTCAGGTGTCTGTCTAAATGTGAATATCTGATTCTTGTGTTACTGAAGGAGCAGTCATCCCCCTGCCCATCATCTGGAGCTTCTCTACCGGTAAGGTGCAGGCAGGTTATTATATTACTCTCTTCCCTCCTCAGGACTTCTGACTTTGTATAGTGTTGCTCTGCTCAATGCATTATTCTAACCTGGTTTTACAGCTAGCATCATCTTAGAGTTGCAGCAGCTCCTGAATCCCTTCTATTTAAGCAACAAAAGAGGCGAGCTGATGTGATTCCTGTTACTTTTTCCACTGCTATTTAGAGCTCTGTTAAAAGCAATAAAAGCTGGTCAGTTTTCTGCTTCTGAAACAGAGACACGCTGAGAAGCAGCAGCAATATTCAAGCAGTCCATGTATAGTCCTGCGAAAATGTTGCTGTCTTAGTCATGATGCCTGCTTTTCTTTGCCAGCTGGAAGAATTTTGTGGAAATGATGGCTTTACTACAAGAAGAATTAGTTTTGGTCTTAGAGAATACAAGTCTTGGTCAAAATAAAGTATTTGCATTCCTAAGCCTTGAAGTTTTTGTATTCTGTTTTTTTTTTTTTTTCCACTGTACAGCTATGTGTAAAACTGCTGTTCATAATAGACCAGTCTGAGCAAGTCTAATACACAGGATGCATAGTAAAATGCTTCAGGCAAAATGATGAATAAGTAAATGAATACTGTTTTTGCTTCATTTTAAATATCTATATACAGTACACAAAAGCATGTTAATTTGCAAATATCTTTCAAGTTTCTGAAACCTGAAATGTTAAAACAAATCAGTCAAACGCCGTGTATTTCTGTTGAGAGCAGCCTTCCTTGTTTTCACAGGCTGACCCTCTTAAATGTTGCCTCATTGGCTGAAGGCATGGTGTGCAAGCATCGCTTGTTCTTGACATACAATACAGCTTTACTGCACATCTTTATATGAAAAGCTTCATATTCCTCCTCTATCATCCCCTGTGTACTTCATCATGAGCACTTGACCACACGTGGTGTGCTGTGCATCAAGTACATAGTGGTCATGTAGGAAAAATATAGGAGCCAAGACTCAAACTGTAATTTATCAGTATGTGAGCTGATTGCTGATGTCTCCTTAGTAACTTTTTATTAATGTTTTGTTAATATTAAGCTGTTTAAATATTGTATTTCTCAGACCATGCTTTTGTGTGAATATTAAGGTGTTTAAATATTGTATTTCCCTGACCGTGCTTTTGTTAAATAAATATATCTTACTATTTCAGGTTGCAGTTGTTAAAATGAAGTGTACAGAGCGCATTTATGCAATGAAAATTCTAAATAAATGGGAAATGCTTAAAAGGGCAGAGGTAAGTAATATGGTTCTCTAACGTGGAGAATTTTTAAAATGGCATTGAGAAAATTACATGGAAGTTCTTTCAGATTAGGAAGAATTATTTAATGAGCGTAAGCGCGTAATTCTTTTTTTCTTTTTTTTTCTTAAGCTGTTTTAATGCAATCAAGTCTGACAGTCCCTTCCAGGCATCTGTTGTTCTCAGCATTACTGTGTATTCGTTTACCAGACAGTCTGCCCTAGTTCTTACCCTGAATTTATTGGCCATATTTTTGTTTACAATAAAGGCAAGTTAAAGACTACATGAAAGCTGAGATTGGTGCTGCTGTGACATTCACAGCAGTATACGAAAACATTATGAAAAGGTCTTTTGCATTCAGGAAGCATACATTAAGGAGCTTTGCATCCTACAGTTTGTAACAGGATTTATATAACTGGTGAAACTATAACTAAATACTTTGGAATCACAGATTCAGATTGTAGAATAAAATGCATAAAAAAGGTAAATCTGTTTTAAAAGGGTATTTTTGTTGAAAGGAGATGTACGTTGTCACAACAAATTATGCAAATATGAATGGGTACTTCACAGATTAGGAAAGGACCTGCTGAGAATATGCCATGGGGAGTAGCATATTCCTAGAATACCTACACTTTGCACAGTAGAGGAAAACCTTATGGCAAATGTAATGTTACATAAATCAGCAATAGATTTTAGGGGAAAACACACATAGTCCGTCAATACTTGCAGGAGTTCTGTTAAGGGGCAAAGGTTAGCTGCTTGCTGAGGACTGAGCCTGCTGACCCTTCCCTGTCCCATTCTTCTGTCCCCTTCCTGACACCTCCTCCCCCCACCCTACCTTTCCTAGTCCCTCCCTTCCCTTCCTTTCAGTGAGTCAGTGCCAGCTCTTTTCCTGTGAATAAATCTCCTCCCTCTTGTTAAGCTTCTCTTCACCGCTGCTTTGCCTGATTTAGTCACACGCCATCCATCCGTCCATGTTCTTCTTTACATGCTGTGGCAGCTGCTGCCACTTGGCTGCTCTTTGAGCTCTCAGGAGAGTTCACTGTGCTGCATCAGCAGTTCTGCATTAAGCCTTCCCCTGTTTGGGGGAAATTTGGTGCCTTTTTTGCACAGGTTTCAGTTGGGTTAATTCATTGATCAGTATAGAATTGTTTCAAGCCCAAATGCTACTAGGGGACTCCCAAACTCTAATGGAAATATAGCTATGCTGGCATACTTAAGTCATTTTTAAAGTGACTTAAGTAAATGGCTTACATAAAGAGCTGAAGCTTCTACACGTGGAGATGTCCTGAGAAGACAGCTGTTTACAAATTGTCTTCAAATTATCAGACTTAACTCCTCTTACCCTCTCGGGCAGGCAAGAGGTGGAAGAGGGTTATCCACCGAGAGAGGTATAATGAGCAATATTTTTCCCAATACCCACTTAGGACAATTAACAGTCCAGTTAATTCTCTTTATGCTGGTTTTCACCATCTACTAAGCACAATAAAGGACCTGTCTTCTTTGCTGTGCCCCTCTCCTGTTCAGTTTGCTTGCTTGATTTGGCTTTTCTGGATAAGCAAGACTTTATAACCTGCGTGCCAAGTTCATAAAAAAAAATGTGGTAAAACTTGTTATTTTTAAAAATGAAGCCTGGAAGAATACTGTAGCCTCCTGAGTGGTCAGTTCCACTGAAAAGCAGACCTTAAGTGTTTTATTATCCATTATACGACCACTTTGTGAGTGGTCTAAGAAGTTCATTGTTATACTGCTGTATGTCTGTTTTGTGATTGTATTTTATGCATTTTATGACTTATTAAACGTAGCAAGAAGTTATCTAAACACTGCGTATTTGTGTACTAGCTGCAAGAAAAAAAAGTGTGGTCGGAAGCCACTAAAACCCAGGGAAGATTACTGAATATCAACTGACATCCGTAAATGGGTTGCAAGCAAAAAGAGGCATGCCATTTATGTTGATAAAGTGGATCATTTGTATTCATTGTTCTGACAGCAAAATACATAGTCGTTAGTGTATTACTGTTGACAGTTCCAAATAAGCCCTGCCTGGCTGATCAGGTAGCCTGTCCTGCTTTTCCAAGGCACGTCTCAAGGCTTTTTAAGCTAGTGTAAGCAGAAAAGGATAGTTTTATATTTTGAATTCATGATGCAAAGTGTTCAGTGGCATTACTGGTTTCCAAGTGTTCATAACATTCCCTCGCTACTTGAGGTTGCACAGTGAACTGGATCAAGGAACTGATGTCTTCGAAAATAAACAAACTAGTTTTCTGTGCTGGCAGCCTCCTCACGTCGCACTGCCAGAACTGAGGAGTGCTGCGCTCTGGTGCTGCGGGCAGGGGATAGGATTACTTGGAGCTGCAGTGGCTGCCAAACCTTTTGTAGGGTGATACTTTGGCCTTGCATTCATAAACCGTTAAACCGCTCTCAGTTAACATTTAATTACAATTTACATCTCTTTGCACCAATAATTACTAACTTTACAATGTGGCCACAGTCTGGTCTTCTTCAGTAGAAATGTGATTTGACTTTTACTTCCTTAGGGGGACAAAATGGTTGAGATATCTTTATAAGATGCAATCAGTATATGGTAAGGCTTGGGCTTCCCAGAAATGTTCCTTCCATAGTACATTTTGAAGACATTTAGACAAGCAGCAGTGACAAAAAAAAAAAAAAAAATCCAGAACCCAAACACTTGTACTGTAGCAACCAAATAGTCTAATAATTGCTCTCTGCATGGAGAGTAGTGAAAGAGTCCCAAGGTCTGCATCTTGATAGTTCTGATCCAATAAAAATAAAAACATTAATATATTTTTATTAAGGAGGACTTGCTTGAAGTTTATGAAAGTTAGTTTTATGTAAAGATGCTGAGAAAACCTGTTATATAGAGTTTACTTCTCTGAAGTGTTGCAGTGGGCTAGTTGAAGTAGATGAAAGAGTATTGAAAATGAAAACATATTATACTGGAGAAAGATAAGACAGTAATAGTAAAGTGTGCCTATTTCCTATAGTGTATTGGCAATGTCTGGAACTGGAACTGTAATGTAAGAGAAGTATACATGAAACTCTATTTTCACAAAGGTCTTTTTCAGAAAAACCAGACTTACTTTCCTAGAGCCATTATCTTTCTGCTACAGATTGCAGTGACAAGTTACCATTTTTCTTGCTTTTAGAAGTACATTATGGAACAAAGATTCAGTGTTGACTCAAATTCGTTTGTGGGCTTTTTGGTTTTTTTGGGGGGAGGTGTTGTGTGTTGGTTGGGTTTTTTTTTCCTCAGGTCACAGTCAGGATTAGAGTGACTGAATGCCTGATTACAAGCCTGCAGGTATTTCCTGGTTTGTCATTTGTGCAGACTGAATTCCAAAGAATAGAGACCTCTGTTCAGTAATTTTCAATAATCCCATAAAACATCCATATATATTCATCCTGTGAAAACTACTTGTTGATGCTGACAATGGCTTTTTCCCTTCTCTTCCTTTAGACAGCTTGCTTCCGAGAGGAGAGAAATGTCTTGGTGAATGGAGACTGTCAGTGGATTACTACGTTGCACTATGCCTTTCAAGATGAAAACTATTTGGTATGTTTGATTCATCAGCAAATAAAAGCTTTGGGTTATGAAAGAACTTTATTTTTGGTACATTTAAGGATATTAGTGCAATAAATCAGTCCACCTCATGCCTTGCAGCAGTGTTTCAACATTCTTTTTTCCTCCTTGAAGAAATACTTCAAAGGGCTGACTGTAACTCCAGGAGAGCGAAAAAGTCGTCTAGTACTATAGTATATAGAGGTTTAGTTAAGCACCTTAAATTAACTAATCTACCCTTGCATAAAATATATCGTGCTTAAGTTTCATGTTTGGTTAACATTGCAATTAAATAATCTGAGAGATGTTAACTCTGTGAAAGTAAGAAATATTTAATTTTAAACTTTCAGACTGACTTTTGAAGCAATATTTTGTCTATAAATGGCAAAAGTAATTTAAAATGGTTAAACTGATATTTTAAAAGCCTCAGGAAAAAAATAGCCTATTTCTTAAAAGTATTTAAATAAAATGTTTTTAAATCAGCAGATTGGTCATCTCAGTAGTTTGAGAGACTTTAACCATCACATTTTTTAAGGATGGGTTTCTAGAACTGTAACATCTAAGCTATGTTTATCTTAGTCACAAAAGTCAGGAGAGTGCTGGTCAGGAGCAAAATCAGTAAAGCCCCAACTTACTGCAGTGTGCTGAACCATACAGCTTCCATGTGGCTACTTGAGGCTGGGTTTGCAAACCTGCTATTTCTGTAACAACTGACATAATTGTAATGTTAAAATTTTCACCTACTTAACACATTTTAGATAGTACCACAACCTGGCCTTGAACACTTCCAGGGAGGGGGCATTCACAACTTCTTTTGACAACCTGGGCCAGTGTCTGACCACCCTCACAGGAAAGAATTTCTTCCTAATATCTCATCTAAATCTCCCCTCTTCCAGTTTAAAGCCATTACCCCTTGTTCTATCACTACCTGCCCTTATAAAAAGTCCTTCCCATAGAGCTTCCTGTATGTCCCCTTCAGGTACTGGGAGACCGCTAGAAGGTCTCCCCTAAGCCTTCCCTTCTCCAGGCTGAACAGCCCCAACTCTTTCAGCCTCTCCTCATAGGAGAGGTGCTCCAGCCCTTGGATCATCCTCGTGGCCTCCTCATTGCAGTAAGTCCACATCTTTCATATGCTGGGGGTCCCAGAACTGGACGCAGAACTCCAGATGGGGACTCATGAGAGTGGAGGAGACGGGCAGAATCTCCTTCCTTGACCTGCGGACCACGCTTCTCTTGATGCAGCCCAGCATACAGTTGGCCTTCTGGGCTGCAAGTGCACATGGCCGGCTCACGTTCAACTTCTCGTCCACCAGTACCCCCAAGTTCTTCTCCTCAGGGCTGCTCACGATCCATTCTGTCCCCAGCCTGTATTTATGTTTGGGATTGCCCCGACCCAGGTGCAGGACCTTGCATTTGGCCTTGTTGAACTTCATGAGGTTAGCACTGGCCCCCCTCTCAAACCTGTCAAGGTCCCTCTGGATGGCATCCCATCCCTCCAGCGTGTCAACTGCACCACACAGCTTGGTGTTGTCAGCAAACTTGCTGAGGGTGCACTCAATCCCACTGTCCTTCTCACTGACAAAAATATTAAGCAGCACCAGTCCCAAGTGAGTTGAGACACTAAGCATATGAAAGAGAATATACTGGTGCTGAAACAAAACGTCATGTTAAAAGTATTTTCGGAATAACAAGCACATTGTAAATGAATAAGGGGGTTGGGTCTTAGACCCTTTTTTACCAACTGTTTCCATTGAGTGCTTTGTGATAGATCCAGATTTTCAACCTCTCAAAGTTTAGTTACTTCTGGCACTGCCTCATGAAGGTAGCTCATAATTTCAAATTCCCTCAGCACCAAACAGCCTTCAGACTTGCATAAAAATAACCTAAGACATCCTACAATGTAGTACTTCAAGTAGCTTCTAAGAATGGAGAAACCTAAGAAAAAATTGTTAGCTGTGAAAGATAGCAAGCAGTAGTAATGACAGTATAAAGAGGGATCTAGTGTTGCTAATACAATTTTATTATACAAATCTGTTCCAAGCAGGCTATAGCAATATAATACATTTCTTTTCCCCAAGTTACCGAAGACATTTAGATGTTGAAGTTTCACTTGACAGTAGAATTTAGACATCTAGCATCTAATTTAAGATCCATTTTCTAAGAAAGCAACAACTCTGCCTGGCAGCCAAAGTCAGCAGATTCCCAGCTTGCCCGAGGTCTGGTTCTACATGTGCTGAGATGCTGCTTTCCAATTTGGTCTGTTACTCAGTATCCACCTCATGTAAATGTCTGGTGCTCACAGATGGGGTGTATCTGCATCGCCATCATTCTATTGTAAATGGTGTGTGAAGAAAAGGTGAAAGGAAGTTACTTTCATCCAAAAACCTGAACAGAAGGTTCTCTTCCATACCATCTTAGTGGTTCACTTTTCCAGGGGCTAAAAAGATCTCTGTTCAGTTCTCTGCTCAGCTTGAAGATGTTTGTAGCCACATTTTTCCACATCCCGGCAGAGTGCTGCTGTGTTACAGAATCTAAGCAAGTTGGGTTTACCTTTTAGCTGAGCTGTTCATTCTTTATCCTTGTAGAATGGAATCTAAAGCTGAGAACAAAACGAGAACAGACAACAGAGCTTGGTTCTCTGACCTGGAGTGAACATTGGTCCTCTGAAAGAGAAAGCTCTAGGTTTGGTTCTGGTGTCTGCTTCTAGGGATGTTGGTGCATTATAGCTAATGATTCTTAAGTGCAAACCCACATAAGGTAACCCTGAAGCAGAGAGAGAACCTTGGTGTCTTCCCACACCTGGGGCTTTGCCATCCTCCTCTGGCTACATGATAATTCTCTCTCAGAGTGAGACAAAGAGAAGATGAGAGATGTTAAAGTAGAAAAGTAGTAGCTGCCCTTGGAGAGTCTAGAAGTAATTGGTGTTTTATTCCCTCTATTTAATATTAGTAGGGCATGTGTTGATGCAGAACTTGCATGTAAGCAAGTAAGAAACACAGAATTCCACAAAATATATATGTTCTGGAGTTTATTTTCTGGTTCTGCTTCTGTAGTTTTAGAATGTTTTAGAGGTAAATACACCATGTAGTAGTGTTTTCTAAGCAGCCAACTCTTAAATGACATTACATGGAAATGCTAGCATGGCTTTTTTTCTGGTTCCTAGAAAGCTTTTTGTAGAGACAGTTTGAATCAAAATGGGTTAAGTAAGCCTTTGGTTATTTTGCTGAAGCAGATACAGTGCAAATAAAACATAGTCCATGAATATTGGAAACATGGATGGGAACTAAAGTTCTTAATCTCTTCCAGGTTAAAATCTGTTAGTTTTCTTGTGCTTTACCAGAAAAATTTTCTTTCCCAGTCTCATTCATGAAGAAGGTCATATGTGTGTTTGTGTCCTGTCAGCCTCTTAAAGGCTCCTGAGTATTCATGAGGGTATTTTGATGTCTTTTTTGCCTTTGATTTCCAACTACTCTCCCTGTTTGATGTAGTCATTTCCCTGGAAGAATGTGATACCTCTAGATTTCAGTGTCTCGATACCCTTTTATTTTAACCCCATGTGAAGGGAGAAGTGCTTCCTGGCAAGAAAATAGTTGTGAATTGGAAGGTGAATAAAACTTGACTTTCTTACAGAAGAGGTCTTCCATCTTTCTCTGATCCAAGTGCCTCATTTCATGGGTCAGCTGAATTCTTGCTGAGTTAGGAATGCTGCGGGACCTGAGGGAAGTGCATTACCTTGTCTCTTTGACAGACAGGCTGTTTCAGCTCCCACAGAAGCCTCTCTAAGCTTTCTTATATTTGAATTAGAGAGAAAATACTTTAATGCAATATCCCTTCTAAAAGATTGCTGGTTCCTATCTGTAGCCTTTTGTTTTCAAATATAATCGTTGTATGTGTACAGTGTTCCAACACATGTTTAAAATTCCTCGATGGGTTGTGCAATACAGACTGATTGATTGCAACATAAAAGATGAAATTTGCCTATCAGATTAAGCTATAATTTGAATAATATGGAGAAAAATATCAAAACCTGTGCCTTTTGGGGTCACTTTTTTAAGCCCAAAGATAGTGAGGAAATTGTTAGTATTGCACTTTATGTTCCCTTGGGTTCTTGTTTAATTTTCTTCCCTTGTGGAAAATGAATCTGTGTCAGGAACAGTGGATTGCAGGATTCTTTACCGTAAGGAAAAAAAATAAGATTACTGCTTTGGAAAGTTATTTCTAAAACCATGTATCAAAGCACCTTGTGAAGCATGGAAAAAAATGGCTTAAGACTGGTAGTACCAGATAAAGTCATTATACTTGAAGCGATGGTCTGAATTTAGGTGGATATTACTAGGAAATAACTAAGATGTAATCCCTGTTTGGTGGTATGAGAAACAAATAGCAAGTCTGAGTCCTTTTTTTCACATAACCCTATATGTGTTGATTCTTTCTGTGGACAGCATTATGGCTGATTGGCCTAGGAGACTGTTTGTTTTTACATTGACATGTATTCAGAAGAACATGTTTGATTTTTAAGTGTCTGATTGCTGTAGTACCTCTGACTTCACAGTCTTTCTGGCTTGTCCTGGGCATCCCTAATATATAGTGTCATCAAGCTGCTGCCGGCTATGTTATGCATCCATGATGTGGCATGTGCCAAGATAAGCGTTTGAAGATGTTGATGTGATAAGTCCCACTTTTGGAACCACTAGCAGTATTGAAATGATACCAAAACTAAAAGTAGTCACGAAATTTTAGACTGAGCTGTATCAAGTATTGTTTTTAACTATAGTTTTTTCTTCCTGCATCCTCTGGAAATTGTCAGTCTAAGGGTTGATAACCTACATTAGTTTTGGTGATACTAGATCATTTTCTTTGTGTGATGCTGTAGTTAAGACAGGAATAAACACACGACAATTTACTCGTTTGTTGCTGCCATACCTCGGTTGTGGGTTTTTTTATGGTAAGAAATGAATGCTGATGTGTCACCCTTACTGTGATTATTAAAGGAATATGCTATGTTTTTACACTAAATAAGCAAATAAAAGTAACGCAAATTATTACCAATTTTGACAACTTTCCCTAAGTAGTTGTTCTGGTTTTTAGCTGGAACAGAGCTGGGTTTCATTTTAGTAGCTAGAATAGTGCTGTGTTTTGCTTTCAGCCTGGGATTTATTATGAGGGAAACACTGATAACACACCAGCGTTTGCATTTTTGTCGCTGGAAGTGAAAGACTTCATGTTCTGTTAGTCTACAAGTGCAAGATCTAAGGGGGTGAGGAATATTTAAATTAATAAGCTAAATTGGCGTTTAGATGTGCCAATGGGATATTCCATATCATATCACGTCATGTCCACTATATTAGTGAGGGTCTCTTCCTCTTTTAGCTCTCTGGCTTTCACTCGGGCTCTGGCTCTCCCAGGATTGCGGTTTTGGTTCGGGACTGTCGCTCCTCTGGGATTGTTATCTGGGAACGGGCCAGGCTTGGTTGGTGGGTGGTGAGAAATTGCACCGTGTATCACTCATTGGTATATTTTATTACTGTTATTATCGTAATTACTATTTTAATATTAGTATTAAGTTTTATTTTTATTATTAAATTATTCTTACCTCAACCTACAAGTCTCCTTATCCTTGCCTTGTCCTTATCCTCTCCCCAGTTCCCTTGGGGTGTGAGGGAGTGGGTGAATGGCTGTGTTGGCTGCTGGCCAAGTGCTAACCCAGTGAAACCACCACATTAGTGAAAAGGGTTTTTCTAGCAGATAACTGATGAACTTTATTTTTTTTTTCTTACCACCTGTCTATTGGTACTTAACTGTTTTATTTCTCTTTTCTCAGTATCTAGTGATGGACTACTATGTTGGTGGTGATTTACTGACACTTCTCAGTAAGTTTGAAGACAAACTTCCTGAAGATATGGCTAGGTTCTACATTGGTGAAATGGTGCTTGCTATACATTCCATACATGAACTTCATTATGTGCACAGGTAAGATACTGTCTCACTTGGGAAAAAATACATATACAGTTATACAACATTAATCCTAAAGATATTGCTGCATACACAAATGAGCACAGTAGCTACAGGCAAACTGCTGTGGGTACTTGCTTACTATATACTGTATAATAGATGTATAAGCTATTACATTTTAAATATCAAGTTTTGATGGATTGGTGCTAGAAGCAGTGACATTTATCTGACTAACCTTTTACTAAAGCTTTTATTTTTAATCAGACTTCTTGGCTTATTCTCAACTCACTTCATGAATATTTATCTGCCTTTGTCCAAGCCAACGTAGAATTTTGAAGCAGTTTGAATTCTCTGCAAATGTTTAGACATTCTGCAAACTTTATGCACAGAAACCCCATGATGACATCAGTGCATCTGTTTACCTGAGGTCACCTTCAAATGTTTTTTGTAATGAGTGGGCATGTGCCTAATGGTTTCTGCACACAGGATGTATATTCCAGATAAGTGCCTACCATCATCTTAACTTAGGTTGTGTTCTCTAGTAGTTAAGAATATATAATATTCCTTATTCTCTATCAGAGGAAACTGGTGAGGAAGGCAAAGTGTACTTTGCTTCTTTTTTGGCTTCCTCTTGACAGAACTCTTTTAGAAGAGCTGTGAGTAGTGCAAGGGAGGCACTTGATAAGTATTTTGTTTCATCATTGCAAGAATCTTGATCAAGTGAGAATTTCTATCCTTTGTTTGCTTTTCATATTTAACAGCTGTATATGATATGTCAGTTAGAAGGCAAAATCATACGAATTTTGGAAACCTTTCCAGTTGCCTCTTTATATGCTGACTTTATCGCTCGATTTCAGTAAATAGAGAAGTTAGAAAATACAGAGTGTGAGAGTAGTGAGGTTTCTCAGTTAACTAAAAACTGCTTATGGCCGTACCCGTTGGTTCACAATAGGTCACTGAAGTCCCGGCTCAGGAGAAGTGAATTTCATATTAGCATTGTAGCTGTACCTCTTTATGCCTTTATTTCGTAGTCTGTGAAATAAGGACAGTTTTACTGTCTCTTTTATGAAATTTATGGGTGAAAAACAATAAGTAAGTGAGGTGATTTTTATTTCTTTACAATTAATGTTTAAAAGACACAGGGAATTCTCAAACTATAATGCTTTGAACTCTTCTGTTTGGACTTTGATCACTGTTTCAAAAATTTAAGAAAGATACATAAACTCTGCAATGCTTCTGTGAGTAAATGTGGGCAATATGTGGGGATTTAAAAATGTTATGGACTCAGAGAAGAAGTTCACCAGAGGCACCATTGCCCCCATTTCCAAGGAAGGTGACCCAGCTAACTGACCAGCTACATCTTTGCATGGAGCTGAATGAACGTCTGCTGTGACAATAGGAATGAATGGCTCTGAGGCCAAAACATAGGCTTTGAATAGGAGATGTATGAATGCCCAAGAAATTACTGCTTGGCAACTGGAATGGATTAGGAGGAAGCATGATTGCTCTGGAGAGGATTTCAAGGACCCTTTAAAGGCTTATATGACCTGTTAGCTGTAGATAGGAAACAGTGGAGCTCAGAGATGAGGCATTAAGCCTTTCTGAACAGGAACAGTGTTCCCTTAGGCAAGCAAGATCTGCATGCAAAGCAGAAAAGCAGAGATGTGTTGGATGAGACTTGCTCATGCTTGAAAAGGCACTGTGAGCAATTTACTTTAAAAAAACAACCAAACAAAAAACCAAAAAAAGGATGTATAGTGTATATAAGCTTTAATATAAGCACCTACTGAGCTTGAATTGTGATAATGGGACTGTAAGGGAATGTTGACAGTATCTGGAACTGAAATGTATGGAATAAGTTTAACAATAGAAAATTACTAATGAGTTCATTGGGAAAGTATAGTGAGATGGTCTAATTTTCTGGGTTAGCACATTTTTCTGTATTATAACAAGTTAGTATGCATTTAATTTATGTTGATGGTCATAGATTAGCATTTACTATTTTATCTTAATACTGCTAATGAGCAATAGTATTAGTGAAGTTTCAGTAATTAATTTCAAAGCATTAGCCCTTGGTTAAAAAGTGTTAATTGAAGTTTGTGTTGGAAAAAATTATCAAATTGGCAGGATTTTTACACGTGTGAGGACACTTTGTTAAACTTATAATCGTTTTTTCTCGTATGTACCCTCAAGTGTGAAACTATGGAATTCAGCACCTTAAAAATCAGACACTGTCAACTTCCACATTGTGCAGCAAGGTGTATTAAAGCATTTCCTTGTTCCTAGTAATTCTAGTCTCTTCCTCAGAAATCAAGCTGAAGCTATTGTACAATTTTTAAGTCTTTGAGACCATGAAGTGGCGTTTGGAACTTTGCATTTGAAAAGAAATAGAGTAATTTAAACAAGACTGCTGGGTTTAATGTAAAGCACATGTAGTTTTATTTATTACTAATAAATAGTATTATTTAAATAAATATGATTTCTTTAAAAACCCCCACAAATCAACACATTTATAGATCTGGTTATCTTTTTTGGCTCGCTCAGATAAATAATAGTATTTCAGAATGGCATGATGATAGGCTAGCATGTTGGGAGCTGATCCTGGGTAGTGTTGGCTAAAGAAAGGGAAGGAGACTGGTATATGTTACCTTGGAAGACATGGATGTTCTCCTTTTTAGACTGCAGAATTGGTACATAACTGAGTCGCTTCTGTTTTCTGTGCTTGCTCTTCTCTCTTCCTTTCTTGCCACCTTCCCAACATACTGACTAGGTCCTCTTAAAATAATTTGGGGTATTTTGAGGCTATCAATTAAAAAAACCCCAAACCCACAGCATAGTATGTAGCAGGACTGTCTTATTAAGTTGTCTGAATAATTAATCTTTTACTTATACTTTATGTGAATTTGAATAAGAAGTGGTGAAATAAATTGTGGTTGATTGGTAGACTGAATTCAATCAACATGCTCTTCAGTAAATCCTTTTTGACTGCCTTTCTGATACCAAAAAGAAAATAATGAGTTAGACTGAAATGGAAATCTTAGTTTCATGTCGTTTAGTAGCCTTAGCATGCTGTATACCGTTTTATACCCTGATATATATATATATATATATATGTAAGAATACAAAAGACACTTTGATATTGGAGACTTTCTAATGTTGTTATTGTATCCTGTTGAATTGATTTGCCCTGATCCCAGCGCTGGGGGAATTCATAGAGTGGCTGCTGCAAGTACGCAGGATGCAAAGGTCTTCAGGTATCCGTACAAGCAAATGTGCTGTGCAGTAGTGCATGGGAAGTCTTGAATAGCAAATGAAAAATACTGGCCAACAGAAACGCTGGACAAAATACAAAGAAACAGTAAAAAAGTCTTCCTAGATAAGAAGTTAGAAGTTAGTTATAAATCTTGGAAAAAATAATGAGATTAAAAGATTGCCTTTTCTCTTTCCTCTTTCTTGCCTCTAAGAAATATATTGTGATGTGTATAATCTTGAAATTGTGTTTATGAAGTAAACTGCCTAGCTGTTAGAGTCAATAATGACTCACTGCAATTGTTCTCGTTGATTATTTGACCATTCAGAGTTCAGCTTTGATGAACTTGAAAATCTGATGTAGTCTACGGCTTCAATATTGCAGACAAAGTTTTAAGTTGGGCCAGAGGGGAGGTTTGTAACTAGTGCAATAAAAAGAGTTTGCATCAGTGGGTATCCAACATAAAATTCTCTGTGATTCTGATGCAAGATTAATCTTTACAAGAACAGCTAATACTGTGTATTTAAATCTTTTAAATTCTTTCTGTTATAACAGGGACATAAAGCCTGATAACGTCCTTTTGGACATGAATGGCCACATACGACTGGCAGACTTTGGATCCTGTCTGAAAATGAGTGAAGATGGCACAGTATGTATGAAGCAAAATTTAACTAGGTCACTGGTAGTGAGATCTTTTAAGTGAGTTGCTGATCTTAAAGCTGTTGTACATTTTCCGCATGCATCGGGGAGGTGATAGATTATAAGCTTATTCACATGCTAAAAATTGAGGGAAATGTATAACTCAACATATTTATAAAAACAGTTTTGACATCTTCATCTCCTTGTTTTACAGGCTGCTGCCTATTAAAGTTATGCTTTGCTATGTTTTTTTTTCTGTCTTCCACCTTTTCTCTTACTGGCCATTCCAGTTCTCATGAGATTTTTTATGAACTGTCCAAAGATCCTGCATCAAAAAAGGATCGAAGTTTGATATTATTGATGTGCTGGAATCATAGGTGATCAGGAACCTAGAAGCCATGACAGATTTGAAGTATAACTCATTCAAAATGAGGACACAATTAATAAGCAGTTTATTTTACATGCCTTTTACAAATCAAACAACAACATTATGGTAGTTGGCCATCTTGTGCACCAGATTGGATACACCTCTAAAAGCTAAATCACTCATGAGGTTTTTTGTTTGTTTTGCCCGTGTAGGCTGCTTCCAGAGGTGCCAGTCCTGCTAAGATATGGCATGCAACTTTGTTCACTGATTTTTGGCACAGACTCAAGTCTTTGTGACATTCTGTAATCATAAAATGCCTGTCAAAGATTACCATATTAAAATGCAGAATGAATTGGAAGGAGCCATTATAACTCTGTGAATCCTGAGAACATATTCCTAGAGATCAGAGCTGCGCTGCGACTGCCCTGATGGTTAGGGCTTCCCTACTGCTTGGCCACAGGACAATTCCCCACCTCACCCCTGTTTTGCATCCAGTTGCACTGCTATGCAATAAGCCTCAAAACAATTTCTGACATAATAAAAATAGGAGTTTCCTTGCCCTTGCTGTCTTCAAATGAAACTGTAAAATTTGGGCATAAGACTTGGACCCCGTGCTTATTCATTTCTCATTTCAATGCAGCTAGTTGCAGTTTTAAAGTATAAACAGATACAAAGGCAAAACATTTTTTCCACTTGTCCTTCTGCTTTCTCACAACAGGTATGACTATTTTGGGCTTCCCCTGTGTTCAGAATAAAATGTATCAACTGATTTATGTAGAAGTAGACTGGAACTTAATCTTTGCAGTCTTTGTTACTTTCTCAATATTTTCTTTATTTTGTTGCTCCAAAATGATGTCCTGGGGTCTCTGTTTGTCACAAATACTAGTGTGTGAGTGAGAAAGTTGCTGAGAGAACCTGAAAACTTACAAAAATTATGTTTGCTTTATTTTTAAGGTACAGTCATCAGTAGCAGTGGGTACACCTGACTACATCTCCCCTGAGATACTGCAAGCAATGGAAGATGGCATGGGAAAATATGGGCCTGAATGTGACTGGTGGTCACTGGGTGTCTGCATGTATGAAATGCTGTATGGTGAAACACCCTTTTATGCAGAGTCATTGGTGGAAACCTACGGGAAGATTATGAATCATGAAGTAAGAGATATGTTAAATCTCTGTGTATTCACTGGGATTATAATGTTTACAGATAAACTGCTATCACTTAAGAATATTGGAGTAATGTTAGTTCTTTGCTTTTTCATGATGGTTTAGAAGCATATTGTGTTGGTGTGTTGTGTGTGTTCAGGTTTAGGAATGTTTGCTTCTTTGTCAAATTGAAATTTTTCCCTAAGTGCTGATGTTGTTCTTGTTAGAAAATCTAAGAAGTCATCACAAAATCAAAATTAAAGCCAACTCTCATGTTAAGCCCATTTAAAGTTTCCTGTGGGCTGTGCAGGAGAAATGAAGTAACTCATTATTTACACAGCTGTGCACATTTTCTGTCACACTGGTAACAGTACAAAAAGGGAACAGGCAAGTCAACCAGTGTAGACATCAGTTGCATGAAGAACATGAGGTCAAGGGGAGTTGCTCAGAGGGAAGTGGTAGAAGAACGTGAACCTGAGCTGCATGAAGAACATGAAGTTAGGGGTTTTGTCCAGGGCCAGAGTGGTAGAGAAGAGTTGCAGCTTCTGGGTGCATTTTGAACATTGGAGAATAAGAATAAACCAGTTCATGGTGTCCTTTCCAGAGCTGTATTAGGAGGATGTGTTTATGCGCGTACTCATCCTAGGTAGCCTGAAGCTGTTGCATAGGGTGTATTGTTGCGTTTTCTTCTCCCCAGGATGGGTGTAGTTTACAATGCTTTGCTCTCACAGTGAAGCTGTGATGGATAAGACATGAAATCCTTGCCAGAGCTGACACCCTTGCTGTGATGAATATTAATCTCTCTTGATTTCATTTCCTCAATGAACTAAATGGTTGCAAGTGTAACCATTGTAAATTCTGGCTACCTGACTCTTAAACTACTTGGGAGGAAATTTGAAGCTGTTGTCCTGCAGACTTAAGATTTTAATCTCATTTGGACACACAATCAATATGATTGTTTTTCAATGTCAGTTTTAAAGTTTAATTTCAGTTATGCTGATTTGGTCCCTAGTGATCTAATTTTAAACTTGAAAAATTGTGTTCCAAATATAGAGATATATATTTATGCCATTGTCCTTTATTGAAAAAAACAAACCAAAAAGCCCTTCTTTACTATACAGTGGTACTAGTTTGAAAAAGTTTTCAAAATTTTTGTCTAGAGTAATTTCAGATGTTAATTGTAAGTACAATTTTTAGATCTGCTGTTTGTTTATGATAATTAAATCTTTTCTAAATGCGGATTATATTTTGGTAAGAAAAACAGGTATTTAACCTATAAATTAGAAAAATGCATCCTTAAATTTACAATGTTTTGTAAGTAATTGACTACCATCATGGGTTTTTAAGCGTTCAAATTAATAAAATTTCAAGGAGTACATCTTCAGGAGATTGGTGGATCTGTGACTACAAATACCAGTGAGCATCTGCCTTTATTTTATGATCTTTAATATATAGTAGTGTGTCAAAATTCCTGTATGTCTTGAAAAAAGTAACTTGCTTTTCCTAACAGAGTTACTGTAATTTCAGTTAGTTTCAAACAGGTCTGTATTAAAGAAGTTTAGAAATTATTGCTTGTCCTCAAAAGCAGTTTTAAGACAAAAAGGCCTATCACTGAATGTATTGCATTGTGCTCTGGCACTGCTTGCTGAAACTAGAACAATGTCTGACTATTAATTTCCAGTTTTATTGGTATAATTTAGCACGTTGTTTTTGAAACTGTTGTTGAAAGTTATGGACTAGATTCCTTCTCTAAAAATTACTCTGATTTGTTTTGTTTTCTAGGAACGATTTCAGTTTCCATCCCATGTTACAGATGTATCTGAAGAAGCAAAAGATCTTATTCAGCGTCTTATCTGCAGTAGGGAACGTAGACTGGGACAGAATGGAATAGAGGATTTTAAGTCTCATGCGTTTTTTGAAGGACTTAATTGGGATAATATCCGAAACCTAGAAGCACCTTACATTCCGGATGTTAGCAGTCCTTCTGACACCTCAAACTTTGATGTGGATGATGATGTATTAAGAAATCCAGTGAGTCTTTGTTTTTAAATATTACTATCCAACCTTGCTGCACTATAAGGTAGTAGTGAAAGCTTATTTCAAAATATGTCATGAAGAGATGAAAAAAAATAATTTAAAATGTGAAAAATTAGAGTTTTTCATCTCTTTGGCATTTTGGGTCATTCAGAAATAGTGAGCTGCTTTTCTAAATGGTAGTGCTTGCCAAAATGGACTACTGTTACATGGTCAGTCAAAGTTAAAATGCATTTCAGTGAGGAAAAAACCCCTTAGTTGCTCTTTTAGTTTACCTTTACAAGGATCTAGTATTTGGATTTATTCCTTTTCAAAGGTGAAAAAAAAAAATCTGTCTTTAGAAATACACACATACTCTCCATGCAGCTTTCAATCACAGCTGTCCAGGTGAGAGAGCTCACACTCCTACTTCTTCACTCACTCAAGATTCAGGAGGTTGGTTTTTGGAGTGGGAACATTGGTGTTCCCCTCATCCATTTCCATTGTGTAGTAGTTTACAAACTTGGGTCAGGAGGAGCAGAGGGCTTTTGTAGTAATTTGCTCATCAGCTTGTATTGTATTCCAAGAAATGAAGAGCTTTAGGCATGTCTTTTTAATTATGTATCTAACAGTAAATAGCATGCTGAAACTAACAGCGTGCATTTTGGTGCCAGGTCACTTTTAATTAGGAGCTTGAAATTTCAGGGGTTTTTTTCCTGGTTGTATTGTGCTTTGAACATGTTGAAATGCTGTCCTTTCAAGTGCTGGTTCAAGAGGCACCTAAATTGAGGTCATTGTATTAAGTGACCTAATCTGAAATAAAGTTCATCCAGGGACAATGGAATGCTATACAATGAAGCATAGCTGTCAATTGGTATGTGCTAAGAGAAGTTTTTCTGTTAGCTGTCTCTAACTGTTGAGGCTAAATTAAATGCCTTTAGCTCTATATAGCTTCTCTTCTGGGTTTTCATGCATGTTGTTTTCATGCAGGAAGTGGTGCCACCAAGTTCTCATACAGGCTTTTCTGGATTGCATTTACCATTCGTTGGGTTTACATACACAACTGATAGGTAAGCAAAGGATATGTTGTTCATTAAACTTGTTTCCCAAATACAGCTAATTCTAAGAAATTCTCATTTTTATAAACATGTAGAATGGTTGATGTCCATAGGTATACCTGTGGATAAACTTTTATCCCTGTTTTTTTTCTTCCAAGTGTCTGGACATATTTTGATCATACTTGCCAAGATTAGATGCTTTTGTATTTAGTATTTTATCTGTTTTAAATGAATGAAAATTAGATGTGCCACTTGCAATTGGATATAAAATTCCTGTCCCTGCATTGGGAGGCTGAGGGCAAGTCTAGTCCACATTGCTTATCTACCAGGAACCATTCAGGATTAGCTCATTGGTCTAAAGACCTGCTGATAGGCTAAGTTAACATAGATGGTTCTGAGCATGGACAAAGCAACTCACTTTGCACATCTTTGAAATGGCCTCTATCTGACTTTAGAAGTCCCTCAAATGTATACTTGTCTCTGATCTTAAGGTTATTCTGCCCTGTTTGTTATTCTGTTATTTCCCTTTGTTGGGTTTGTTACCCAATGCATTATTTCAGAAAGAACCCAGTACCCACAGCTCATCCTTTTCAGAGTGAGATCATGTGGCTTAACTTAAATCCATCTTTGTGACACTTAGGTTTGTTTCTTGGCTCTCTCAACGCAGGAACACTTACCTGCTTACTTTGCTGGCAGGTAGTAGTAACCTTTGGCATAGGAGAGTTAACATTTTCAATCATTTGGGTAGTTTGTAAAGTGAATATATGTCTGCATTGTTAAAGTCCCAAGTGTAGATATCTGAATTCCACAGCAGCATACACAGTAGCTAGGGAATAATAACTTTATCTACCCTGACAGTTGTCTCAACAGTAACAATTACTGCACTCACTCTTCTTGTAAATTTAAGGTGCATGTTTGGTGGAATCTAAGCATGTCACTGCTATAGACTGCTCTGAGTATTTATTAAAATATTCTAACTTACGTATTTGTTTTCAGCTCTTTATCTGATAGAGGCACTTTAAAGAGTGCATTGCAGTCAGACACTTTAACCAAAGATATGGATGTGCAGCGTGATTTAAAGAACACTTCACAAATAGAAGGCTATGAAAAGAAAATACGGAAATTAGAGCAAGAAAAGCAGGATTTGAACAGAAAACTGCAAGGTTAGTGGTTTATATTTGTTTGGATTCTTGGTTCTGCTCATTGGGAGGAATTGGAATGTATTTTATTGAAAACCTTTGTCTTCCTTTTCTGATTTTAAGAATCTACACAGACAATGCAGAACCTCCAGGGTCCAGTGTGCGTTACAGTAAATACAAGTCGTGATAAGGAAATAAAAAAATTAAATGAAGAAATTGAACGGTTGAAGAACAAATTAACAGGTAGGCCTCTAGCATGGTAATTACAGTAATGTGATTTAATGTTACTAGGAATAGCAAAATAGGTACTGTGTTTTTACAATAAGAAGAATTAATGTTCTTAAGGTGCTAAAAAAAGGGGGTTTTTTTAAACTCTCTAATATTAAGAGGCATTTCAGTTTTTCCAGATGAGCAGTTAACTTTTTCTTCCACTTGCTCAGACAGATAGCAAATACTAGCATGGGGAGTTTACAGTACAATGAATTGTCTAGATGGGTTCACTTAAATATTTTTTGTGATGTCTGTAGAAGTCTCAAGAGATCCTGTTCTATTACTCCTCCTTTGGGGAGTATTGTTTTGGAGGGGTTTTACTGGAGGCAGGTGTAAGAGACAGCGGGGAGAGAGCACTGGTTGCTCTTTAGTAGCATAAGGGGGTAGGTGGGAGGATGTGTAATAATAGTTCACATTTAAATATTTCTGAGCTCCTGCTCCCTTTGTGTTTCTGTCTGGTGATGCATTAATTAAGGAAGCACTGAGCATTGCAGAAAAACAAATACTGGCATCTGTCCTGAGAGAAGACTGACTCATCCATATCACTGAAAATCTGTTGCTTGACAATGCTATTAGTTTATCCATACAAACCTCCTGTTAGCATCTAATTTTTAAGTGGGAATCAGTGATAAACAAAATGGTAGTTTTGAATCCTAATGACTTGGCTTGAGGGGCTTATAGGGGCCTGTAGTATACTGTGAGTTCAGATGCTGGGTTGCTGATTTTTTTTTTTAATGCAGTTTGGCAATATACCCCCTTTGTAGGTGCATGCATTGTAAAAATCAACTCAGCTCTGCTAAGTAGATTATCCTTACAAAAAAACTATTCTTTTATATTCTGGAACTAGATTTGAGTCAAAACAGTTCAATTAAGAAGCTGCTTCTACAAATGGTTCAGATTTATCCAGCTCTTCAGGCAATGGTGTCCTGTTAAATACAAAAACTAGCAGTATAATCTAGTTTAAAAAGAAGTATTGGTTGTGTAGAGTGGGAGGAGGTTTATGCTGAAATGAGAAAAGGAATAATCCTTTAATAATTTCTGCAGTGCTTGGGATCCCTGAATCCATAGGTCCAGGTTCCTGTTCTGCCACAGACATCAGTGAAGCTTGAGTGAGACAGTTACTCCCTGTGCAATTTCTTACATTTTTGTTTAAAAGAAGTAGTAATTAAAACCGAATGGAAAATAGCAGTTCTTTTTCTTACCAGCTTTTAAGACCCAGTAGAAATAGATAAAGGTGGTTAGTTTGTTGCACTTAAAGGTGGTAATTTCAAATCAAATTTAGTTCATTTTCTTTGAGAGTAAAGAGAATGACCAGGAGAACATACTACCGGGATTACAGGCAGTCAGGTCTCCTGCCTGCCTCGTGCAGGATGGTATTTCCTTCCCAGATTGTGAGTTCCTGTCTGCCCTAGGAAATAAGTATTCCTTTCCTGTCTTGCTGGACGCACTAGTGTCTGACTGTAGCCTTGTTTGTCATATAATGAAAACTACTTAGGAGACAAATTACTAGAACTGGAATTTGAACAACTGAAGTTTATTTCAATGTTTTCAAGGGCTAGAAGTTGCCTTGCTCAAAAACAAAATGAAGCCCTGTGTTAAGGCTTTTTGACTTCAAGAGATCACAGTCTTTGGGAGGATTTCTTTAATAGGCTGAGCAAATTAAAATTATATGGAGCTGTCAGTACCCCAAAATTACTTTAAACAGTCTAAAATGGTGTGAATGGGAAATAAGTTGATTTTTCCAAACAAAGTTGTTCCAGTTTGCTTGAGTAATGTTGCTTGCATTATTGGTGTAAATTTGGGACCAGTTACCTTTAATATGTATTAATCTACAGATATAAGTAAACTGGAAGGACAGCTTGCAGATGCAGTGGCGTTTCGACAAGAACATGAAGACTCTATACACAAGTTGAAAGGATTAGAAAAACAGTGCAGAGTACTGCGGCAAGAAAAGGATGACCTTCATAAGGTACTGATCCAAAGATAGATACGTTTAAAAATGGTTATGGAAAGTAGTAATAGAACAGTTTTATTGTGATTGCAATTTTAGTGTTTTGAGTGCTGCTTTTTAAAACTATACTGAGATGTTAGTCAACCTATTAATTTCATTAGCAACACAGTAGTTTTCTTTTTTTGGAAGTTGATAGACATCTTATTTATTTCAACTGTGTTCTGCTAATGGTTTAATTTTAACTGTTTAATTATTCTTAATTGTTTCAATATACACAGGAGTTAAATTCAGATCTGTGACTAGTCATCAGTCTTGTAGATGCCAAAAAGCATATATGTGCATATATATATATATATATATGTATATGAAAGAGTTAATAGAACTAGGTCAGTGCTCCAGCTTGAGCCCACTTACTCTTTGTAATACCAAAAGGTTAATTATTGCTTAAGGCTGAGGATGACTTTTATGTAATTGCTGAGTTTATTTACTGTTTGTTTGCTTCCTAATATGTAACAGTTTCTTAGTTTAATTTAGCAAAATATTTTGCAGTAACATAAATAGGAGTTTGCATATACTACATACCACTTTCAATAATATCAAAAAAAGCTATTTGTATTCAAATAGCTAGTTTTGGAAAAGTCTAGCAACCATATTGTTCACATGGCATTTAGATGGACCCAGAAGTAATCCATGGGCCAAAAACCCTGGGTTTTTTGTCCACTAGAATTTAACAGTCTCTCCTCTTTTAACCACTGGTAAAAGTTATTTACCAAAGTGTATGAGTAACAAAGGGGGCAAATTGGTTCCTCCTGCTTTGAACACATGCCTTTTGGGAAGTTAATGATAGTTCCTGCAATGCTCCTGCTAACGGTGGAATTTTTCAGAAGTCCCTTGGCCAGTATACATTTATTCTGTTGCCTAGTTCTGCTCTTTTTCTAATTCTCTTTTCTTTATGTAGAATATTCAATTTGTATTTTATACAACTTCTATACTTTCAGTTAAAGTATTAAAGCTTCACAGTTTTTTTCTAAGGAATCTTCCTTAGTTGTGTGAAGAATTTCAATAGATTTGCTGCAGCGTTTCAGTGCTGGTACAGTGTACTTGATGGCTCCCCTGAATGTGCTGTCTGCTAAAGTATTTCTTTAGAAAAAGATTACTATTGTGCAGGTACACGGTAGTAATCTGAAATTAAGTTACTTAGATGGCCTTGTGCAGTCAGATTTATAAGAAAGACTTCTGGAGCAGCAAAGCTGCTCTTGGAGCTGCCACACTAGAAGCAGAATAACTGCTACCTTGGTATGTTACTGCAGCTGCTTACCCAGGGGGAAAAAACAAACAAACAAACAAAAAACTTTGTGTAAATTGAATGTTATAAATAATATTTTAAAGTTACATGGGGTGGCTGAGCTTTCGAGTCATGCTTATGTAGGCCTACTTTCTTTCTTCTTGGAAAGAATACATGGAGTTCAAATGACTTTTTATCATTATATTTTTTTATTTAAACCAGCAACTTGTAGAAGCCTCAGAGAGATTAAAGACACAATCCAAAGAACTGAGGGATGCCCACCAGCAAAGAAAGCTGGCTGTGCAGGAGTTCTCCGAGCTCAGTGAGAGGATGGGAGACTTGCGGACCCAAAAGCAGAAACTGTCCCGTCAGCTTCGCGACAAAGAAGAGGAGGTGGAAGTGAGCATGCAGAAAATCGATGCTATGCGACAGGACATGCGTAAATCAGAGAAGATCAGGAAAGAGGTAGCTTGATAAAATAGCTAACAATAATGCATTTCAGCTGCTGCTTATCCGGTATCTCATATGTGATTGTGTTGAAAAATCGGGACTGTTAATGGTAATTTACTTTGTCTATAAGAAATTACCCTGCTAACTCTTCCATGTAACTTTGCTACAGATAACAAAATAGATCTTGATTTTGTTTCTAAATGTTTTACTGATATATGAGGAAATGAACCAAATCTTCTTTTTTGTTTGTACTCAGCCTGATTTTAATCTAGAGGAACCTGTTCTTGCTATATGCCCAGCCTCTTAGTTCCTGTGTTTTGATTTTTCTAGACTCTGACTCATAAATGTCAGCTTGATACCTAGAAAGCTTTATGTCTTTTTGTGCTTTAAGGTTGGAACATTCTGACTTCATTCTTTTTCAACTGAATTTTTCTTTTTAGCTGGAGGGAGTAATAGTGATACAGACTAAATAGGTGGTTTTCCTTCCTCTGTAGTTAGTCATGGTAGAGAATGTCTGTAATATCTTTAAGCAATTTAATTTCCAATTAGTATTCTGGGCAATTCATAGTTTTACATAAGATGAAGTGGATAACCAGAAGAGGGCATAAGAAACAGCTATTGTGGCTAACTCAGAGTGTTTTAATCACTGAAAAATCATCAAATTTTATGTATTCTCTGGGTGAGGTGCAGAAGATAAATTCCAGAGCTTTCTAAACATTGCTAGCAAACTTTTAGCAAATTGAAGGGCAGTCTATGAAAATGTAGCAAGAGATGAAGTATCTTAGATTTTTATCCATGAATAGGAAGTGGTAGTTAGCTGGGAAAAGAAAAGGTGCCTGTGATACAATATCTGATGTGTAGGGCTGCGGCACCTCATCTCTAGAGCAGAGTGCAGCAGACATCCAAGTGTTACTGCTTATTCAGTTAAATATTTCCATGCAGGGCTTTATCTCTTGTCTTTCTTCATACAAATTCCTCTGTTCTTCCTTTCCTAACAGCTGTATCATTATTCTATTGTCTTGACCCACAATTCTAAATACTATCCTTTTAAAAATGACTTTGCTAGTTGAATTTGAATGCAGAAAAACAAATCTTTCTCTTCCTGTCAGGTTTTAAAACTGTGCCACTATTGCTTGAATTGCAACAGTTGCCTTAGTTGCTGCTAAATTGTCTTTCTGATAAGCTTTCTGAATTTGATAAATGGATCATCAAGCTTATTTTGTTCTTTAATAGCAAGGTGAAAGTGTTCAGTGTTCATATTTGAAGTATTTGGCTCGAAGGTCAGGATTTTTGAGCTGCCTTAGTAGATACTGGAGCGTGGAGCTGACCTGTAAATGTGGGAGACTTTCTTCTTTCACAGCTGCAATGACTTCCTAGTGCCATTTCCTTCTCTTAGCATTAATAGAAGCTGTGCAGTTATCCCTGCACATACTTGGTGTAGTTCATTTCATACAAAAAGTCATATGGTAATAGTTCTATATGTGAGACAGATGGTTGCCTGGATCAATGAAGGCAAAACAATTATGATGACATTCTGAGATGGTTGTTATAGTGGTGTAATGCAAAATAGAAATAAGGAAAAAGTTGCTGCTCATCTGTATGGAGGAAAGGAAATGAATGATACAGATAGCTCTACCTTGTGTTGAAATGACTTAGAATTACTGTTGTTGCAGCTGGAAGCCAAACTTGAAGAAGTTGTAGCAGAAGCATCAAAAGAACGCAAGCTTCGTGAGCACAGTGAGGCCTTCTCCAAGCAACTGGAAAATGAGCTGGAAGCTCTAAAGGTTACATGGTTTATAACAAATTTTTATTCATGACACAGGAGCTGCAATAGTTTTTCTTACTCAGCTGTTGATACCTGTGGGAGATGTAAAAACTCGGCATTACTGGAAGTCTGACCTAACCTGTTCAGGATATTTGGGATTTTTTTTTTTTTTACTTGAAGTACTTTAATATCTCAGTGGACACTAATGTCTTGAAAATGTCCAGTTTATGAATCCTAAGCAGATACTAAACCAATGTGATCCAAATTTGTCATCTCTGCATCCCATTTGAATCCCTTATTAGAGTCATGTAATCAGAGCAGTCACTTATGGGGCTTTAATGCTTGGAGACAGGCACCTTTTAGATCACTCAGTGCCCAGATAAAAATGTTTCCAAAGTGACACCAATTCAGCTATTCTAAGTTCAAATAATATTCCCAAAATATAGTCTCTTCCTGATGGTTTCTCTTCCTCTTCAGCTGAAGCAGGGAGGCCGGGCAGCAGGTGCCACACTAGAGCATCAGCAAGAGCTTTCCAAAATTAAGTCTGAGCTGGAAAAGAAAATCTTATTTTATGAAGAGGAGTTGGTCCGACGAGAAGCCTCACATGTTTTGGAAGTAAAAAATGTGAAAAAGGAAGTACATGATTCAGAGAGCCATCAGCTTGCACTGCAGAAAGAGATCATGGTATTAAAGGATAAATTAGAGAAAACAAAACGAGAGAGGTAAGTTTTCAGAACATGATTCATTAACTACTCATTTATTTTTCATAGGTATCTGTACAGGATAGTATAGCACCTTAACTCTGTTTATTCCTTTTTGAAAATACCAATCTATGGGATCAGCAGTGTTACAGTATAAGTGTTTCTTTTTCTTGTCCTTCTCCTTAGGCACAATGAAATGGAGGAAGCAGTAGGAACAATGAAAGAGAAATATGAACGTGAAAGATGTATGCTCTTGGAAGATAACAAAAAGCTAACAACAGAAAACGAGAGGGTAATTATTTTAGGAAAGCAAAATATAGTTCTTATTTTGTTACTTTCTGATGTTGTTACTTTGAAGTAGTCTGCTCATTGCTCAGAACAGATCTGTAAATGTCTGAATAAAACAAATGTAATTTTCACCATATAAATGTCAGAGATCTGGCTAAAGAGTAACTTTAACATCTCAGTACTGCTCTTAGTGAGATTGATTCCCACAGCTCAGAGGGCACCACCACCTTCTGATTCCTTCATGAAGACCACACAAAGAGGGAAGCATTTACAAAGACTGCCTGCCTTCCTGATGGCTTACAGTTACACCTCATTCCTCTCAATGGCCTCTACACTCGCTTTTTCTTTTCCTTTGTTTTGGATTGTTTTGTGTGAACTGGCAATGTGGTGTTCTGTGCTCAGGAGCTGGTCTCTGGTTCTCCTTCCAGTTCTTCGGTCTGTCTTAGAACTTCCAGATAGCCCAGGGTGGTCTTGTTTGTTCATATTCTATAGGTGTGTAGACACATGCATATGTAAAAAGGCTGAAACTGACATACACTGTGGGTGAAATTAATCTTTTGTTTCAGCTTTGCTCCTTTGTGGACAAATTAACAGCACAGAACAGGCAGCTAGAAGATGAGCTTCAAGACCTAGCAGCAAAGAAAGAGTCTGTTGCTCACTGGGAAGCTCAGATTGCAGAAATTATTCAATGGTATGTGCTCTTTCAACTATATTGATTGGCTTTTTTTTTTGATGTCTAGCTAGGGCCTTTCTGTGTGTCTGGGATCAACAAAAGCATGGTGCTTCTGAATCTTGATTAACTCTTTCTCCTCTGCTTTCTAGTATTGCTGCATAGTAATGACAAGTGAAATTGTCAAATGCTATTAAGTTCAAAGGAGAGGGTCTTGGTGTAAGCTTGCTTCAGTCTCCTAAAGTGATCATTAAATCACCCAATTTGGACTATTTTTATAAATTAATTCAGGAAGATGGTCATGATTTAAAAGGTCCATGTTAACGTATAGGACCTCACTAGCTGTACTAGACAAGCACTTGCACTTATTCCACAGGTCCGTTCTTCCCTCTGTTATTTGCTGTTTTAGCAGGCTGTGTGCAAGTGTTTTCGGCATCTAAGACAAGAAGGACTTGAAGGTAGCCCTTTTGAAAACTGAGCAAGCAATATGGAGATCATGTTCCAAACAATAACAGTGACTGTCTGCAGAACTCTTGCTGATGGTGAAAGGGAAACTTCAGTTTCCCTAGCAACTGCCACAATCAAGAGAATCAGATAAAAGAAAAATCTAAAGCAGGCAATCTAAGATGTATTCAGTTTTCTGTTGCTGGGAGAGTTTTTCGCACTGTGTCCGTTTTTGCGATGTCCCTAAAGCCAGTGCAGACACTGATTATTTGGTGGTACAGTATTTGGTGCTATGAGCTGTGAAACTGTTAAGTAACATTTTTTTTGTAATTGCACAATAGGGTAAGTGATGAGAAGGATGCTCGTGGCTATCTCCAAGCATTAGCTTCCAAGATGACAGAAGAATTAGAATCATTGAGAAGTTCCAGTCTGGGGTCACGAACACTGGTAAGAAACAGCAAGTGTTCAAGCTGTTCTGGGGGTGTCCAAGAAGCTACTTTTTTAGTTTCAGCTACTGTCTTATCAGTGTCTGTTCATAACCAGAATTCTTTTCTAATAAATCCTCTGCTCTGCTAATGACTTTCTAGATTTTAGCTATTGCTTGTGAAATCCATTTGAGTCATCTGATCAGAAATTGACAATTAGAGGCAGGGGAATGTTTCCTACTAATGCCTGCCATCACAAACTACTTTAAACAGTACAGAGGAGAGAAGAAACAATAACTTAGACCATTAAAGAGGAGTACAGAAATGTACCTCACCATGTTAGATGCAAACGAATAATTTTAATTGCCTTTCCAGTGAGATAACGAAGTACATTTTCATTTGTGAACAAGAATTAGTTGGTTGGTGTTGTTACTAACTAGTGACTCACTGAGAGCATGTAGCTTTATTTATGTACAGAACACTGAGACCTTGTGCCATAATTTTCCCATACAGTAGTATGAATTTCCAAAAAATCTGCAGTATAGAAGAGCCCTCATGAAGAAGTAAGTTTTCAAAGATGAAAACACTGTCTTGCCTTGACAGTTACTCAGTACCTGCATAAGGAAAGGGAGAGCCATTTGCAGCTAGGCATGGAAGCCCGCATCCTTAGCAGTGCCAGTCAGCACAGTCTGCCACATAAAGAGTCCATCTGCTGCTGGTTTATACAGAGAAGTTGTTACTCACCCCATCCAAACCTATGAAGAGGAGAAAATAAGAGAAAGTTGTGACTTCCTATGAGTTAACATTTGCCTATGTTATCAAGAGATGATTATAATAATTGAGAAGTTTAGTAGGAAGAAAGATCAGATCAAATGCAGTGGGCATCTTCTTCTTAGCTACTTCCAGAATAAAGAGCTCTATCTGTTCTTTGTATTGCAACTGGTTTTGTAACTTCAGCAGAACCTGATCTAAAATGCCTCTGATTTTCATGACTTACTTGCAAGTTCATGTGTGACTAGAGAGGTATCCATTAGGGAATATCAGAAATGTAGTCCACAGTGAAAAATACTTGGAAAAGCTCAGAAAATTAGCTTTTGGGGGTAGTAGGGTGGAATTGCATGGTGTACACAAAAGTATAGTGTGTGATTCTTAGGAAGTGTAAGAATTGTTTAGGAAGTAGGTATGTTGGGTATCTCAAGACCCAGATTATTTCCTTTTTTCATGTTTTTACCACTCTCTGTATTTTAGATTAATATGTTTTACATTAAATATTTACGTTTATCTCATGTTTGAAGTTCCAGTGTGCCACTGTGCAGGTTTTATACCCTTTTCTAGATTGGTCAATGAAAATTAGCCATTTTCAATGAGTTCTCTCAGTTTGACTTCCACGCTCAGTGATTTTGGTTTCAAGCATATTGTGTTAGTGGTTTAACCAGTATAAAAATTGCTCATTACTCACTTTTGTGTTACAAAGTCTGACTGTCAACTGATATCCATGTAGGAGGTAGGTATACTGTCCATAGCTAATTAAAAGAACATTGTCTGAACCAGGGTGAAAGCCATTTCATGTCTTTGAACAAGAACAGAAATATCTTTAGACAGTTTATGGTAATATTTGGTAATTTACTGCAACAGGATCCACTTTGGAAAGTGCGTCGCAGTCAGAAGTTGGATATGTCAGCTAGACTGGAATTACAGTCTGCCCTTGATGCGGAAATTCGTGCCAAACAACTAGTTCAAGAAGAGCTACGAAAAGTTAAAGATGCAAACATATCTTTTGAAAGGTAATAAGGGCTTTGGTTCTGTTTGGGCTTTAATGCACTGCTCTAAACTGCTGCTTCGAATAGTAGCTTTCTTAAAATGGCCCCTTGTGCCTGGGATATGGGGCTTTGCCAGAAAGATCCCATCCTACATATTTCATACATAGTCAAATGAGAACTGTAAAAATTTCTTCGAGTAAGCATTTCACTGCTGTGAATAGCTTAGTAGTAAGGTACACATCTCAGGCACTTGAGGGGAAAAAAAGCATAAAAGCAAATTCAAGGCACATTCAGTACCTTTTCTTAGACTAACGGGAGAGTAGATGTATTCTTGGGAATTAAAAGCCAAACTACTATCAGAACAATTTTGTTTGGCAGATACCTGCAGTGATAGCAGGAGTCTCAAGTACAGTTTTCACTATCTAGTCAAGTAGTGAGTTGCCTGTTCAAGGGAAAAATAAAATTAATCAGCCTTAAGAATATATATATATCTCTTTAAAAAAACCTGCTACCACTCCTCAAAAAAAAAAAAAGGGGTGTTTTCCAAAACTCTAAGATGTAGGACCAGAAATTAACAACCCAGTGCACTGATATTCCTGCCTTTGAGATATTTCAAGTTGCATTTTGATCATATTGTGTTGCTTTAGTAAATTAAAGGAATCAGAAGCAAAAAATAGGGAACTGTTGGAAGAGATGGAAGGTTTGAAGAAAAAATTGGAAGAAAAATACAGAACAGATTCAGGTAATTGAAGTTACTGTGTTTTAACAGAGTTCTAACACCACTTGTGATGTTGCCTTTTAGCTAAGCCTGTTCTGCTTTGGGTTTTAGGTCTCAAACTTCCAGACTTTCAAGATTCCATTTTTGAATATTTCAACACCTCTCCTCTTGCACGTGATCTGACTTTCAGAGTGAGTTATTACATAAAATAACTATAAAGATGTGATAGCTAAATTATATTTTTATTTCTTAATAGCAATGCTTGGGCACTATATGGCAGGTTTGGATCTGGCACATTAGCCAAAGCAGTGTGACACAGAATTGGATGTCCAATAAATGTCAGATTGCTTGGCATTTTGTAGGGAAGCTAGCATCTTTGGGAAGTATTCCCACAAGTTCACCTTAATTATTTCCCATTCTAGCTTCTTTGTTTAGATTAATCTCAAACGTTTGGCTGAATAATATATATTCCAGGTTTTTTGGAAAGGCTGGCACACCCTGTTAGAAATAAGGGATTAAATGCTTTGCAGTTGGAAGATGCTGATTAATACAAGGAAAAGTATTCACACAGTTCAAGGAGTGTTCAAACAGTTATGTAAAATTGTTGGCTCCAGATCTTAATGGAGTGGTTAGAGCAGAAGGAACTGGGAAAAGAATCAGAGAACCCACAGATGTTGGTATAATAAGTTTATCGTGACACACCCTCTGATCCTTAGGAAGCTAATCATACAAATCACAGCTCCAAGTGGGTGTTTCAGTTAAAAAGGTTTGTGCATTCCGCAAGGAACCAGCTGTTAAATGCACTGTTGAATCATATTTTCTTACTTCATGAACTCTTGATCCGTGAAGATCTTCTGGGATGTTTTTTTGCAAAACACACAAGACAGTTCAGGATAAAATCCAAGAGCTGAAACTGGAAAGAATAATCTGTTATGTTTATGGAGCTGAGTTAAAGGGGCTCAGGTTAAAACCTAACCAGTCTGGTTAGCTTTTATCTCTGAAATCTGTACTCTCTATATTTATTTTTTTCAAATTGTCACTGTTGCCAAAAAGAAAGCCCGTGGACATGCTGTGATATTTGCATATATTGTATATGTGCTCTTCTCAGTCATAAAATGTCCACACTGGCTTTCTTGCTGAAGCAGCAAGATGCGCTATATGGATGAGATGGAGGGAAGAGAGAGAAGCATGATATATTCTACTATCTGGGTAATAGTTTTTGTCTTACTGACCTTGATTTTTAAAACACGGCATTAAAATACTTAAAACAGTAACATCTATGGTATCAAGCCCATAACTAATCAAGATTCCATTCTACAGATCCTGCAATGATTATGTAGTCGCTATGGAAATGGAGATGGCATTTTCTGATGAATTACATTAAAATTGCTGATTCTGTAGTTAATGACTTCCATTAACAATATTTTTTTTCACATGTACTTAATAAAGATAGTCCATGTCATGTGCTCTGGGTTAATTTAGTTTGAATAAATAGCATTTGGCCATATTAAACATTTTATTTAGCTAGCCTACTAATACTCTATCTGAAGTTTTCCTGTGGGTGATAAGTGATCATTTTTATCCCTCGTATCCTTGTTACAACAAAGGATTCTGTTTCTTCTTCGTCTACATCTTCTCTGCTAGCCTTTTGGGAAGAAGTAAGTTTTTGCTAGTAGTTTTGTCTCCTTATTTTGTTGTGACCTGTCATAGTAAATATGGCCTTCTAAAACTAGATATTTGCTTCCTTAACTTCTCTATAACTTAATCTACTAAATAGAGCTAGTTTAGTTCTCTTTTAATACCTCTTGACAGGGACTTAATCTACTAAATAGAGCTTAGTTCAACTAAATAGAGTTTAGTTCTCTTTTAATACCTCTTGACAGGCTTGCTATTTTATATTTTGACCATCTGTATGGCTAAAGCTGAATCATACTTAGCATTTTGAAATAGTTCACATTACCTAATGGTACAGTGAGATCTTCAATGGCCCAGCCCTTCCAATCAATTCTTAACGAAAAAAATAACAAATATCTGAACGTATTTAGTGAGCTAACTGAACTTGTGCTGTCTTCCTGTCTAAACTGGCTGGGAGGTGAGTGATTCATTATTTGTTGCCTTTAGTGACAATTAGATCATTTATGTGAAGTCTAATCTGATGTTTGTTAATCATGATGTTCATCATGTCCTTAGAGTACAGTAATATAGTATCCTCCTTCCACACCCAGCTTCTTTAGCTCTGGAATTGTAGCATACTTCCCCCTTGTGCTGGCAATTAGTAGTTGCTAATCTAAATGTGAAATTAATAGAAGGCTTGTAATGGATACTAGTCTAAAATTTTAGTGAAATATAAGACAATGTGATTAAGTAGATATGATGCTTTTAATAGCAGAGGTGTAAATAAAATAGCCAACCATTTTTAAACAACTTTTTAAAAGATTGTGTGGTACTACTTCAAAAATTTTTCTTGCCAGCTGCAGAATTGCCAGCTGCTATGTGCTAGAAAAATCCTGATGTAGTAAGCTACCATGAGACATAAGCTATTGTATGGATGATTGCCAAGCTTCTCAAACGTCATTCCATACCTGCATGCAAGAGATTAGACACAGCCTTGCTGGGAAAAGGTGGCTGTTACAGTATCTATGCTGCCTACTGCAAGGTTTTGCATTTCAGTACTTCCAGTTGTACAGCTTTTCCATCAGGTGGCAGGCGTTTTTTTGAGGGAAGATTTCTTTCAGAGTGGAAGGTTGTTAAATGTATGTGTATTGCATATAGAAATCAGCATTGCTTTTCATTTTATTTTTACCGTGCATTGTTACTTGTAGCTACCTTGAAATTCCATTTTGTTGACATGAGAACCCTTCATTGGATCTGTGGTATCTAATCTAACATGTTTGCTGTCACTTTTGCAGACCAGTTCTATCAGTGAGCAGGAAACACAGGGTCCCAAGTCAGAAGTTTCGCCATCTACTTCAGTTATAACTGCAGAGCAACAACAAGAAGTAAGGGACCCATTATTTTGCCCTGAAGAGTAATTCACTAGAAAGTCTCTCTGTCTTGTTCATGATAAATCTTGCAGCATTCATTATGAAGAAACAGGATTCAATGTTGCTTATTTGCAATGTGTCAGTGTTAATTGCACTTGCTTTGAGGACAGTTGCAAATTAAGCCTTTTTGCTGGCTCTGTGTATGTTGATGTACTTCATTTTCATGTTTTCTGTATTGCTGTTTGTTTGTTAGTGTGCAGGCTTTCCTGTGAGTGCTTTAAAATACAATCTGTTTCTATTAAATCAGAATGGCGATGTTTACAATGATAAAATTTTTGATAATTTTCAAAAAAGAAGAAAAATCAGAAAACAATAAGCTTTGCCACCCCGATCTTAAAACAAATTCTTGAAGCCTCATTTTGCTCAATTACAGTTTTTTGTGATTCAGGAACCAATTCGGCTTCAGAGGATGCCTGCTGCTCCTTCCCCCACCATTCAGTCCATTTCTCTAGCTGTACCAAAGGTAGGGGGACTGTGCTAACCTTTTTCTAAAGAACAAAGGAAAAAATATCATTTATAAATTAGCTGTCCATGTTTGTTCTTGTCGTGTTTGGGTTTGTCATGTGTTTGTTTGTTAGGTCTGTGTTTTTAATCAAATGTTTCCAAATGCACATTGATGGGTTTTAATTTGTCAGAAGGGATGACAGAAAAAAAATGTGGCTTGGGTTTGAGTGTCCTTTGCAGATGGAAATAAAAATGTTACTGTTGTCTTGCAGCACCTTTTACAAGCTGCGTTTACTTAAAAGAAGCCCATGTTTCCTAATGTACACTCTGATATACTGAAGGGTGGGGCAGGGGAGATGCTTGCATTACATGAGTACAGAAAGTAAAAAGTTGTTGTTTTTTTATCCTGAATGTATCTTTCAGCCTAAAGCTCACCAGCTCAATATCAAGTCATTTACAAGCCCTACGCAGTGTAGTCATTGCACCTCTCTTATGGTGGGATTAGTTCGACAAGGTTATGCCTGTGATGGTGAGTCAATTAAATTTCCTTTCTTTTCAGCAAGACCCTGAAAAAATAGTCCCAAAATACTAATGTATTTTAAGGCACCCATTTCTTTGGGGAGGGAGTGAAAGAGAGGAGTGCCTACCACTGAATGGTTCCCTTTCATACTATTAATTAATTCTGCTACCATTAGTGCTGTTATAGGGTGAGTTGAGGGAGGCAGGAGTGTTTTCTGTTTGTGTAGTGGACAAAAAAAAGACCATGAGAATGCTCTGATAACAGGAGTCCAAGCCTTGTATTTTGTGTTATCCTGATCATGAACCCTCTGTTGTGAAGATGATTTGCTAGGTTTTTTGGCCTATTGCCTGTTTTGCTCTCCATTAGTTTTACTTAAAATACTTTCTCTGATGCATGTATCACTACTGAGTCCCATGATTGAGTATATGGAGGTATTTTTCTTTGAAAATACTTATCTGTATCTTAATTAGGCAAACAAAGTCAGTAAATAGTCCACAAATCTGTTCAAGACACTGCAGTATAAATAACTTCATTGTATTTCTATGTCCAGTTTGGTTCTTGCCAGTGGCACCCTCTTCTCTGACACCTTCAGCATCTTATTCAAATTGCTTTATCTGCCCTTCAGGGCTTTTTTCCTGGCAGGTCTCAGTTGGCTGTTCTTCCCTGAGAGCACCTATTGCTCTGCCAGCACTCGCCCTAGGGCTGCCTTTTGTCTCCTGTTGCTGACAGTTCTGAACTCTTATTTTGCATCTCTTCCTGCAAGTCTGAAACAGTTTTTTTTCCCTCAGTGTAGCTATCAAGTTTGTTCTTTTTTTTTTCCTCATTTATTTTGATTAAGCTCTGCATCATTAGTTTTACAGTTTGCCTCTTCTACTCCAGATCTTGATAGGTACAGAAAAAACTAGAATCACATTGACATGAGAATAGAGATGACTCCAGTAGAACAAAACTTTGCCATGTTCCACTCCCAATCACTTGCTTTTTCTGATTTCTCCTCTTTTTAATGCTGGAGATTATGGTGAAATACAGCTGCACTTCCAGAGTCCTGTGGAACTGGCTACATCCTGTGGATTTTCCCCATTCTACAACTGGTGTGCCTTGATATGTGCAGTCCCAAATAATTACGATGCCTCCTGAAAGAGCTGAATTTATTACCTGGTCTTCAGTAGCACCTACAGTACTTTGCATGCATGACTCTTAGGTGTCCCCTGTCCTCCTCCTGGGAGCAGACTGTAGCTCAAAGAACGAGCCAGGCAGCCTGCTCTGGGTTGCACTCTCCTGGCTCTTCCTTAGACATCGTGAGGAGGAGATTTGTAGCCCAGTCTGTGGCTGTATTAGAAGCAGGCTGTTTCCAAGTTATCTGGAATCCTTTGACCCTTTGTAATGATGGAACTGGAGGTGTGCACAGGGTATCTGCCATAGGCTCACTTCTGAGAATATGATTAGGAGGAAACACAGGGTAGATCACAGTGCCGTGTCGCTCTCCGCTGCCTTCCTGAGTCTGCTGGTAGAAACAGGGTGGCTGGGACAAACCAGGCAAAATCTCTGTGGAAAGATCTGGCCCATAAACTGTGGGTTGGATGCTTTGATGTAACATGTTAATTCATTCCACAGTTCTTGTAGTCTGTCTCACGTGAAGCGGCATATATTCATTCTGAGTTTTTCTGTGTGAAGTGTTGTGTAGACAAGAGACCTCTGTCCCTTGCTGGTGCAGCACGAAGTGGTACAAAGTGGTGTAAATGGTAAGAAAGGATGCAACAATTAGTATAGATATTTGCTCCTTATTTGAACTCTGAGATAGACAGATAGATAGATAGATAGATAGATAGATAGATATGCCCCTTTCACCACACAGCATTTCAGTCCTTGTCTCCTGGTTTCTACTTTATTGTGTTTTCAAGTCTGTTGCCTAGTAGTTTAACCTGTTGTATTTCTTTAGTCAGTTTAGTTTTACTTTGTCTTTGCAGTATTCTTGCACACTTGGATCAAATTAAGCACCTACTGTATTTATCTTGTCTCTCACTGCTGTCCCCTAATTTTTATTCCTCCTTTATTAATACTTTTTGTCTTGTGTGACTGGGTTAGTTGTTGCTTAACACCAGTGAGGCTGACCAACTCCTTTTCCTTCTGGAAAATGCTTTCATAAGTTGCCTTGAAATGTGGACTCAGTTCCTGCACTTTATGAAAGTAATAGGCTTAAAAGAGAAAATAAAAGCACTTCAGAGAGTCCCATATAATATCTGGGTGTGTTCAGTCCTTTGCTGTAGTGGGCTGTTGCAATATTTGACTGCCAATTTCAGTGCGATTAATTAGTTTGCTGAACGTAAGGGTAGACTACGTTAATCTCCTGTTATGATTGACTCATACATGCATTTCATTGTGGATTTTCTCTTTTGTACTTAGTGTGTTCATTTGCATGCCATGTTTCCTGCAAGGATAGCGCACCTCAGGTCTGCCCTATACCCCCTGAGCAAGCCAAAAGGCCTCTTGGAGTAGATGTGCAAAGAGGAATAGGAACCGCCTATAAAGGCTATGTCAAGGTAATAGTCTTTTGTTCTTGGACAAGGGAAGAATACTAAACTTCACTTGCAGCTATGCAGCTTGGAACCTCTGAGTATGTTTAAACAGATCTTCTAAACTGTGCTAAAGCCTTAAGGCTTTATGTGCCATCTGTGTAACTTAATTTAACCTTTGTTGCTTTAGATGTGGGAGAAAAGGTTGGTTTTGCTACAGGAGTTAAAGGTTAGTAGATTAGTAGCTGCAATGTTCATAAGCAGCAGGAGGGCAGGGGGAAACTCACCGTGCTGTAAGGAAGAATTTCTGTCAGTGTTGATGTAAGCATAATATAAAAGGTATACTGTCCTGCCATTTTGGCATTTATGGAATATACAAGCCACATTGTTTGTCCTAATACTACCTAATATAGTTATTAAACTGTAACAGGGAATGGTTGAACTTAAGGGAGGAAAAATGATTGCCTGATTACTTGACATTTTTCACTCCATTTCGAAGGGCAAATAGAACGTGTTCTAATGCCGTTGGTCTAAGTATAAGCTTTTCTAAAGGTCCCTGCTTTCTGTGTCTGCTACATGTGCTTACATTTAATAAGCAATCAGTTATTTATATGCAGGTCCCAAAGCCTACAGGAGTTAAGAAAGGGTGGCAGAGGGCTTACGCAGTTGTCTGTGACTGTAAACTGTTCTTATATGATGTGCCCGAAGGAAAATCCACCCAGCCTGGAGTTGTTGCAAGTCAAGTCTTGGATCTCAGGTTTGTATTATTATGATGGAGTAGAAATCCTCTGTATTGTTTCCCTAACAGGAATATTTATTTATAGTACACAACAAACTTTAAGATATGAGAGCTCTGTTCTGAGAAGACTTGTGTGTTCCGCATAATAGTCTGCAGCTAAGTGTAGGCTGAATGAGTTGGCTCAACAAGAAGTCACTTAAGTGACTTTATAGTCACTTATACTACAATCACTAATATTTACAGTATTAGCATTCTTCTTCCTAGAATTCCGTGTGCATACATGGAAAACAAATAAACTTTGGTGGATTGTTTTTTCCCCTCTGCTCTGACCTTGGCATTGAGTCACAGATCATCCCATAGCCAGCAATTTCAGGAACATTGCAAAAACTGAAGTAGTCTGCAGAAAAGCACCAACTAATTTACAATGCAAGTGGCTCTGACCCTTTCTTCTCACAGGAGAAATTTTTTCATGGTAAACCATTTGAACCACTGAATGCTGTCTATAAAAGATCCAAGACTTACATTGATCAGAGTAACCAAGAAGTTCTTTAATTTCAATTTATGGAAATATCAAGGAAGTGTCATACCTTTTAATGTTACAGCACCTTCCTTCTATGACTTGTTGAGTATAAGGTTTGCATTCACAAGCACCTTGATTTATGTTTTTTCCAGACAGCTGTACCACAGGGTTGTACCAGTACTGCTGTTTTGTTCTCACATTTATTCTCTGAGAACCGTCGTCGGCTCTCTGACATGCTGGCAACGGGAGCAGAAGCATGGAAGTACTGCAAATAACAGTATTCACATCAGTACATTGCTTGAAGCAACTCAGCCAGATATCATATCAACTGTCCCATGCTTTATCTGGTTATTGTAGCTGCTTCTTTGAGTCTGTCTTCTGAGTATTCTTAGATGTTTTTAATAGACATTAACCACCACAGCTATGAATTCTAGCAAGGGCAAGTTTCAGGCATTAGTGTCACCTTTACACTAAAATTGGCAATTACAGTGATCAACTTGGTCAAATTCTGTTTAAAAAGGCTTGTGTAGACAAGCCCTCTGGGGTGGAGCACTCTGAAATGCAAAAGTTGTTCTGATGTCTGTTTATTTTACTGTAATAGAGAATAAAATCTAGCTGTTTTGAAAACCCTTATTTGAATCCCACAAACTATAATTATATTGCCAAGAGCTTTTTATGTGATTTTTCTTTTTTTCCAAAGGCCCCTCTCTTGCTACACATTGAGGTATGAATTATTCATTTATAATGTGTCTGCTGGGCTGGAAGAGCAATATTCTTGCTGCTAATTGTAGAATAGGTGTGATTGATAAACCAGAACCACACAAAGCCACCCCCACTTAGCTTCAGGTGCACTGAGTTACATGTACTGAATGCTGTAGAAATGTAACTAAAGCTTGTGAGTTGTTTGAGTCAAGGATGGTTAGAGCATAACAAAGCAGTGATGGCAGTTGTGACCTCTGTGCAGTGGTAGGAGATTGCAGCCTATTGAAGCAGTTGTGATATCAGTTAGATTTTGCTGAATAATGTTCCTGTGTGCATGTATGTGATCCTTTTGCTCTCTTTCTTACCAGAGATGAAGATTTTTGTGTGAGCTCTGTCCTAGCGTCGGATGTAATACATGCAACTCGTAAAGATATCCCTTGTATATTCAGGGTATGGCTCCTAATTTACTCTTAAAGAAAATACAAATTAAATACCAGTGTTTTGTTTTGATAGTGGAGTATGTTACCCATATTTAATGTTTATTAAGTTATGCAGAAGTATAAGAATTTACAAGGGGTACTGAAATGTGTAGAACAATATGATACTCCTCTTATAACTGAATTGTGAAGAGCAAAGTTCCTCTTCTGATGCTTCCTTTTATATAAGGTTTGGCTTTTTTATTTTATTTATTACAATACAGTATATTTTTGTCTCCCCTTCCATTGGTATTACCAGATTCTGTTTTTTCTTTCTTAGCTTTGGAGGACTCTTGCTTTAGGAACTGATGCTGTAACAGAGTAGGCTGAAATTGGGTTGTGCTCACTAATTCTAGTTTGCTTTGTATTGCTTTGTATAAAAAATACATTTAAAATTTCAGTTTCCTTAATTTCATATTTAAGTATAGTAGAAAAAAAATTAAATAAGAGAAAATAATTAGCTTAGTTTTAATATTATCTTTGTGTGTTCTATCTGAATTCTGTATTTAGTTTTTTAAACCTAGGAAAGAAATTCCCGTTGTTATGTGAATCATATTTAATCTGGAGTTTTAAAATACAGAGAAGAGTACATTAGTAGCGAATATCTATAAACCTTTGTATTTGAATACAGAAACTCACTGTTTTCAGCATCTCTGATCTTCAGTCATTGAGCATCAAATCAGTGGAACACAGAAGCCAAAGGGCCGACCATCACGTGCAATCACAATCATTTGATCCTTTAGGGTTTTACTTAGGAAATCTCTTGGCTACTTGAATGCTTCTGTGGCTTTGCTTTTCTGCTTTTTTATAGAAATATTTTCTACAGTGGATTTTGATCCTTTAGTTTACTGCTTCTTTTACCTTTGTTTTCCTCTTACTTGTTTCTAAATTATTTTTCTTTTATTCCCATTCGCCTGCTCTCTTCTCATATTAGCAAATGTGCAATACTGTAGGAAAGGGCTTCTGAGGAGAGAAAATGAGCTATGCAGAATGGTGGTTGGTTCGTTCAGGAGCAAGGCATTCATACAGTTTAGCCTCCTTGACTTGCTGCTCTAATTTCTGCCTGTCGTTTTTAACTGAAAGGGTATCTAAGAAAAAACATTTTGTCAAATCTCCCCATATAAGAACACTTGTGTGGATAGACACGACAAAATGTCTCCACAGTTTAATCAGATTATCTCATGCTGAAGAGATTGATGAATTAACTAGAAGCCTGATGTGTGAGTGTATCTTTTTAGATACCCTGTTGACAGGGACCAGAGAAAGTACTGCCAAAGTCCACCACTTTTCTCAGTTTTATGTCCTCCTTCAGAAGAAGGAATTCCTAAAACTGGAAACCAGTGATATCTGATGCAGGAGAGTCTATTTGCTCAATTTCATTTAATTCTAGATTTGCATCTTGCTGACATAATGTCATAGAGTGGCTTCCACACAACAGTTAAAGCTGTTACTTTTCATCATCTCTCTCAAGATGTGTTCATTGTTGCACACGTATTATTTCACGTAACACATGATGATATTGGTGGCCCACCAAAGACACATTTTAATTTCTTATGGATCTTCCACCAACAGAAAGCAACACCAGAATGCTGCCTAACTCTAAAATATTCTCACCTCTGACCCCCCCCCATGAAATTAAGAAGAACATGTCTCAAACTCAAACGTCTCTCCTTGGTAACCAGTTTTTGAAGCTGGATGTTAGGCTGTCCTGGCATCCAGACACTGCAGTCTAAGTGCTGTCATTGATACATTTTTAATAATAGTGTGAGAGTGTCTGAAGCGGAGTAGTCCTTCCACAGCTTAGCAGTTTGAGTTCAGAAGCCTTGAGTTTCACAGCAAATACTGGATTTTTGTATGATTAATAATGTTAGGTATATTATAACCAATTTCTCCCCTTTTTTTTGCATTTGACTGCATGTAAGGTGCCACCTTCAAAAGACTGAGGAGTAATAAATACATGGTAGTTCTTCAAAGAGAAAACTATAGCTGAAGTCTGGTTTGGTTTTGTTTTCTAATTTAGAAATATTATCCACTATGCCCCCATCCATCTTTAAAATACTAATGCATAGTTACAGTTTAGGACATGAACAAAGCTTGATGCAGAGTAATAAGAGCTGTGAGCAATTGCAAACTATTCAGTTCTTTTCCTACTGCTCTTCACTTTCATCTTTCTTCTGGAATTCAGTCTTTGGCATCCTATTGTCTCAAGTTTACTTTCAGTTGTGGGGTTTTTTGTTGTTGTTTTTTTTTTTCTTTCAGATTAATGATCTTACTCAGTTCACTCTTTCAGGAAGTGTATGTTGCATAATCACATTGTCTGTATTTATGGTGATTTTTGTATCAAGACATATAATCTGGAGATGCGTTGTTCTGTGTATGAATAGTTACAGCTTTCCATTTTGCACTTTTGCTGCTTTTTTCTGTTTACCCGTTGTCACTCTAAAAGTCTGTTGTGCGGACTGATTCTGGCTGATGGCCTGTTTGTCTGTGACTGAAAGCATGGTTCCCATGATCTCTCAATTCCTATGGTCTCTTCAGCCAGGACACAGAACTAATATTAAGAGTTAGTAAGTGCGCACTTTGTCAAACAGGAAATTCCTGGATTGTTTTTCTGTTCAGAATACATTCTCCTTTGAGATCTATACGATGATTTCCCTGCAAATCAGGTGAAGCCACTGTGATTTTCTATCTACTCAAGGAAGTGGGAGAATCTTTTGGTCTCAAAAGATTGTTTTCCTTCAGAGCTTTTAATGCAGATATGATGGGCTCTTCCTCTTGGCCAAATATTTTGAAAATAAAGTTCAAAATCAAAATCTAGAACTGATCATAGCAATGCCATTGGGTTTAAATGCATCTGACTCAGAAAGCATGTGTGTCATTTTCAATAATTTACTACAAATGGTGAGGGGAGGAAGCAGGACAAATTATGGTGTGCTACTGAAATTCCAGTTCAGAGCAGGAAGGAGCCTTTTGCTGGCATATATTGATTATTGTAGGAAAGGAATGTAACGTTTCTTGCCCATACTTTAGGATTCATAATGATTAAGCAAGACTGAGTATTTTTAAACAAAACCACTGAGGTTTATGCATTTTTTCAAAGCACTGTGGCCGTATTAGCTGTGTGCTGTGTTGCATACCACTCAGATACACCATTGCATCGTTATGAAAAAGTGTGTTTTACTTCCAGAGTTCTGTGAAGTATGTAATACTGACAAAAATGACTTTTATTACTCTTATTAATTTTACTTTCTCTGTCTGTTAAAAGGTGACAGCTTCTCTCTTAGGTTTGCCTTCAAAATCTTGTTCTCTACTGATCCTGACAGAAAATGAGAATGAGAAGAGAAAGTGGGTTGGAATCCTAGAAGGTTTGCAATCTATCCTGCACAAAAACAGACTGAAAAACCAGGTTGTGCATATTCCACAAGAAGCCTATGACAGTACACTGCCTCTTATTAAAGCAAGTTTAGCTGCTGCTATTGTAGGTATGTTTGTTTTAACTTTTATAAGTGTGTGAGAGTTGTTGGAGCTTTTAGATGGGCTTCTGTAATGAGAGCACTGACACCTTGAAATAAATTCCTCAGCTGAATTCCTTCGTAGGAATTTAATAATGGGGGAAAAATGCTAATCTTGCATTGATGCTCAAATTTCTTCATCCACTCAGAGTAAATAATACTGTTTAGTTGTTCTACAGGTTGTTCTAGCAATATGGTGTATAGTGTGCTTTTGACAGACTGCATGAACTTGAGCAAAATTGATTTGCTGTTGAAAATCTGTTTGTCCAGAAATTTTTCCAGCTGTTCAAAGCAAACAGTCTGCTTTAAAGACAAGGTTAAGTATAGCTGAATTAATAGCCTTTTTTTTTCCTTCCTGGTTTAGATCGAGATAGAATAGCAATTGGTTCAGAAGAAGGACTGTATGTGATAGAGGTGACCCGTGATGGTAAGTTAGGCCATAATGTATGCAGTAATTACATACAGAATAATGAGCTCCATAACTTTTAGTGCTGTTGTAATATAGGTTGCACGACAGCTCTTCATGTATAGTAAGTATTAAGCACTCAGTTAATTGATGAGAAGGAAAAGTGAATGTGAGATATAAACACTAATTTGGTCATTATCATTACTTACGTTCAGTTGACTGGCTGAGATTAAAGGGATAGGTTACTGGGCATATTCTGACACATTCTCACCTTAACTGTGTTCCCACAGCAGGTAGCAAAATGCTTCAGCACACAGAGCACACACAGCGGCAGTTGATGCAGAGCGAATTATCAGACACTTACGAAACAGAACTTCAATTGAGTGAGAAAAACATGGAAACAGACTTGTTCCATCCTGCACCATCAGAGATCTTAAACTGCCATGAATTAGAAGTTAGACAGCCAGTGCAAGCAACACAAGAGTTTGTAGACTTTCCATTAAAGCCATCATGTATCATTGTCTGTTTCTTACAGAAATTTGACAACCACTCACATTCTGTTTCAGACCAGTGACGGCCGAAGCAAATGCCTTGCTTGCCCCTTTCCATTATCTCTTTATTTCCCTGACCCTGTGCTTCCTCCTGAACCTGCTTTTCCCTTCCTCTTCATAATGCACTCTACCCTCTGCTTTGGGAAAAGTGGGATCAGTTTAGCTTGTTCTTTCTGAAGACTTACCATATCCGTTCCAGAAACCCACACAAAGTGTGCCCAGGTACCACAGCAAAGTGTATGCTGCGTAGTCACCTGGCAGCACAGGCATACCCCTCTATCGCTGAATTATTAGGCATCATAGCTAGGGAGTAGGGGAAACAGTTTTCCCTTTAACCTGATACACTGAGCACAAACACAGATAACAGTGGGAGACATGCCTTGGTGTGGTGGGGAAAGCATGGAGGCCAAAGGGATGGCTAGCACACGAGCATGGGGATTGTTGGGGTCAGTCCATGCAAAACAGTTTTAAACATGGAAAAGCAAAGACCACGTCTGGTTAATTTTACAGTCTGCTTCCAAAGTAAGATACTCTTATTTTGAACAAACAAATGAACAAAATCCCTAAAAAGCCAGTTGAGTTAAACTGAATTTATAGAAGTTAAGTGCTTATTTCCAAGAAGCAACACAGATTTAAAATTCAATAATGTACTACTATTTATCTTTTTCCAAGTTACCATAGGAAATACTGGTTACTTCTTTCTGACTTTAAAAGTGTCAAACATACCTTGTGAAATCTGTCCTTTCTTATAACTCCTCAGGTACTCTAAATTTAAACAGCACTCTAAATCCATACCTTTTGTGGTATAAGAGCTAACAAGCTTGGCTCTCTGGTAGGTTATTTTCTAACAAAATACCTGAAGCTTTCTTCACCTATATTTCACCTATATTTATAAACTCTGAGCTTAGGTTCTTCTGGTCAGTGATACAGATTTGTAAAATGAAAAGGTGCCTGGGTCCCTATTACAACTTTGGAAAAAATCCCCAGGAATAGTCCTGAAATATCCCTTTGACTATTTCTAGTAATTGTTCAAATTTCAAAGAAGATATTTCTTTAAATTTTTACTTGATGGGAGAACTTGAATTTCCTTTTTCAATGCAGTTTAGTTTGTGTCTATTTGAAATGTGGATTGCAGTCATGCTAAAACTTGAGTTTCAATGTAAAATACAACAGTGAATACAGGTTTTTAAAGACTTACTTGACTTTCAAAATAAAACGAAGTACAAAGTCAGGGGTGTAGTTCTGAGGCAAAAAGGAAAATGTTATTGCTTCCTCTTGCTTAGAATAAGCTATTCCCAATTTCAGGAGAAACTGCTTTATACACAGAGACAGAAGATATTTTAAATTCTTTTTAGCAGTAATAAATGCCAATCCTTTGAGTAAACTTCCAGTGGTCACCATTCTGTAAGTACTTAGATATAAACATAACTTCAGATGCAAGCGATTCCAGAGATTCCAGTACAGCTTCTTGCATAAAAGAAAATTGTACATTTAGTTTGAAAGGCCATTTCATAAAGGAACAATTACCTGCATCACTGTGTCATATGTAAATAGGAAAATGAATCATCCATTTTGATTTTAAGTTAAAAGATGTTCTGCATGAGTTTTCTTTGACCAGTTCTTGTGTGTTAATATCATTTTTATAAATCATAATCTCTTTTTTATTTTATGGCGGTTGTAATTTTCAGTGTTAATTAACTGCCAGCTGCTTGTATCAAAAGTCTTTGGTCAGAATATCACTTAGTCCTTGACAAATAAACTAAACTGTAAGCTGGAGCTGGAGCTAGGGAAAAAAAATTCTCTCTGGCAAAGTTCCAACAGCTGGTTATTTCATAGAACATTTCTTCAGACATGTCATCTATTTGTGCTTTTGGGGGATGCCACAAAACACTTAGCTTTGTGATCTAAACAGCCAGTCTTGTTAAAACTTTACAGAATTTGGCAAGTTGACTAGGTTACTCAACTATTACTGAAAATATGCATATAATTTCCAGTTAATTTTTCTTTTTTAAAATTCTAATTCACAAATATTTTGAACACATTCAGTTAACAGAAAAATAAAAATTATATTTTAATGTAATTGGCTTATGCATATTATGTATTATGTTTCCTAGTGTGGAATTGCTTAGTCTCTTCTATTTGTACCCCATGAAATACCCACTGCATTCTTGAAAATGCCAATATACCCACAGTCCCAAAAGCAGGATACATTGTACCTAACTCTATCAGCTGCCTCTAACCCAGTTTTAAAGAAATCTGCAAACAGTGAAGGTTCCCCAGCTTAATCAGGTTACCTACCTGGTCTTTACTGTGATAAAGCTCTTCCTGGTGCCTAACTTAGACCTCTCTTCCTACAGTTTAAGCCCATTCTTGGTTACCCTTTCCCCAACGCACACAGCTTTTCTTGCCTTGCGCTATAGGTATTTAATCTCCACTTACTGTACTGCTTTTGTATTTGGCTGAGACATTTGCTGACTGTACAACATTTTGTATCCTCAGTTATCAGCCTTAAATACTTTGTATTTCTTCTCTTTGTGTTCTGCTAATTTGGTCTTCCTCCATAATTTACTGAAGATGCTGATGTTTTTCCTGAAGGTGGGACCAGTTTCAGAAGATATGTGATATTGCAGTGTGTAGATATTACAGATAATATTACAAAAATTTTTTTCTCTATTTATCACAGAGGTTAAGTAGCCTTTCCCTGCAAAGTGTGGCTGAAGTGAGACTTGATATCCATAGAGAGAGTTATAGGAATGCTTTCTTTCATTGTTTGTTCTGAGAATTAATAACGGAGCATTGAACATGTGTAATAAGTGCTCTTTCTTATCTGGTGTGTGTCTGTGTTTAGATTCATTTTCAGACATCAGTACGTAACACTGCAATGTTTCCAGGCCCCATGGTTTTCTTGTTTAACTTACAATAGCTCTGGTTTCCTTTGCAGTGATAGTCCGAGCTGCTGACTGCAAGAAGGTGTACCAGATAGAGCTTGCTCCCAAAGAGAAAATTATCGTCCTCATCTGTGGTCGGAACCATCATGTTCACCTTTACCCCTGGGCCTCTCTGGATGGGTCGGAGGGAAACTTTGACGTTAAGCTTGCAGAAACTAAAGGCTGCCAATTGATTACAACTGGAACACTAAAGAAGAGTTCTTCGACTTGTTTGTTTGTGGCTGTCAAACGACAGGTTTTTTGCTATGAAATTCAAAGAACTAAACCTTTCCACAAAAAATTCAGTGAAATCCAGGCTCCAGGAACTGTACAGTGGATGACAGTGTTCAAGGACAAGCTCTGTGTTGGCTACCAGTCTGGGTTCTCTTTGTTGACCATCCAGGGAGATGGACAATCTATAAACCTGGTAAATCCTAATGACCCCTCGCTTATCTTCCTCTCACAGCAGTCTTTTGATGCCCTTTGTGCTGTGGAGCTCAGTAATGAGGAATACCTGCTTTGCTTCAGCCATATGGGAGTATACGTCGATTCGCAAGGTCGAAGGTCACGCATGCAGGAACTAATGTGGCCTGCAACTCCTGTTGCCTGTAGTATGTATATGTTTTTCTGTTGCCATATCCCTGTTGCCGCTTTACTTGTCTAAAAATAATCAGCATTGTATTCTATTTTGCTTTGGTTTGTCTTTAAATATCTACAGTTTAAGTTTTGGTGAGTTAACAGGATACACAGTTCTTCCTGATGGTGGTATTCAACCTGAGGATCTCCTGGGCTGAGATCCTGGACACTGCAAGAAAGGAAGCTCTGTCTCATTACAGGGCACAGAAGAACAAGTAGTGGAATGGAAAATAATATTTACAGAGAATAGTCCTGGATGCAGGACAGTGGAAGACTACTGGTCTGTGAAATTCTGTAAAGATTTTTGCTCCCTGGAGAGTGTAAATGTCTAGTTGTCTGTGGAACGTCTTCTGTGTCCTGTACTCAAAGTACAGTAGAAAGCTGAAGGTGAAATGTAGCTGTGACTCTAAGGGTTCATAAAGATAACAAAATAAGAGGTAAAAATACTGCTTTTGGCGGAACTGGTTGCAATTTTTCTCCTGTTGATTTTATTTTTAGGAGGAGAATTCACAAAAATAATGTAGGCAGGTGGAGGGTGATTTTTCAACCACTCTGATCTTTTCAGGCACATTGGTTTATCAGCTAGTTAGGTTAGAAGCACATGCAGAGCATTTTTCAGTATTTGGTGGTCAGAGGCAGTTTGTTATAAAGCCAGGATTTCTGTTTGGACCTCAAATAGCAACTAAAGTGTTTTGAATGATTCAAAGCAAGAAACAGCTTTTTGTTTAAATAGTGCACTGAGCAGTTAGGTGCTTGTTGGTTTGATCAAGCCAGGCCCTCATATCGGTTTCTTTAATTTTAATTGTCTTGAACTGAAATAGTTTGCTTGCTTTACTCTCACCTAGTTCTGTACAGCAGTCTAAAGCAAAGGCCCAAGGAAACAATGTAGTTGCAAACTTACTTTAAAATGCCATGAGCCAAAGCTAGTGTTTCCTTTTCCTTTATCAGCTTTACAGGGTTTTTTTGCATTTCAGCCAACTAAACATACTAGTTAATTGTTTTGTCTGCTATTATTAGAGTCTGTTCTTACTGTAAACTATTTTATAGCATTCTTGTACGTGCAATCTTGAGTGGCATTGGCCTAGGGCTGTTTTTGTAAAAAGAGCAACTTCATCCGCTGCCAGACGAAACTGAATTATTTCCTTTCCATTAGCCTTGTCCTCCCTCCTTGGTCCTGGTGTCTGTCACTGGTGATGGTGGCACTTAACTTTCCCATCAGGAGATCATCAAAGTGGAAATAGTTCTCCCCCTGTTGCAGTTTCTGCTGTAGTGAAGGATCATGTTGTAGAGAGGTTTTAGGGTATGATGGAGAATTTGTCTGTAGGGCATTCAGTCCCTCACGCGAGGAGAGGCTGAGGTCTGTGCTAACAGTCAGCTCTGTTATCTTGGGTGGCCTGTCTAGGTTGTGGCTAAACCAGCTTAATGTGCTGGCTCTGTGCAGAGTCAGTGTAGATATTGTGGGGCTGCTCAGCTCAAGTATGGTGAAGTGCAATGACTTGGAGCCAGCAGGTCCCAAAGCTGTAACGTGGGCAAGCCCAGTGCAGACACTGATGTGTCTCTCTGGGAACCAGTTGAGATCTGATCAAGCTCATCAGCTCTGACTGGTAAGTGCTGACCTTGGCTACAAGCTGGCCAGGCAGAAGCAGTTGGTGTTTCTGTCTGATGCTCAGTGGTCTCCTTTGATTTGAATGTCCAGGCCAACTATAACCCCATGTAATAAATACTTGACCATAAGTCACTTCTGGTGTACATACTTATGATAGCTGTCCAAGGCTTTCTGTGAATGAATTTTGAAAAAAATAGCACCACAACCTTACTTCAGTTCTTCTAAGGAAGATTCTGTGATGTGTTTAGTGTCCTACTGAGTTATTTTCCTTTTGTTTATTGAAGCAGCTCTTTCAGCTCTTTTCTCTATCAAATCCCATAAATCTCTAGTAACTGCTCTTTACATCAGGACACAATCTTTACATGAGCAGAAGCATGTTGATATGAAGCTCTAGGGATCTCTGCTTTTTGTTTGACCTAAAATAAACTTTTCTGCTGATACTTTTTATGCTTTAAAAAAAAAAAATTGAAAAGAGAAAATGAATTGTAGGCTTTAAGCATTGTGACACTTTTCTCTTAACCTGATGAAAGCAACCCATACATGAATATCTGAAGCTAGATAATTGTTAGCAAAAGAGGAAGGAAATTGAGAACAGATCTGCATCATGACTTCATGACCCACCTCACAGATGGTGGCCCTCTCTTTTTCCCCGCACACAGCAGATGTATAGTTAGTTTTCTACTTCCGAAATGAAGTAATCTGCATCTGTAGAAAATTTAGCTGCTCAGTTCCAACCAAGTAGCAAATTTGTATGCATCTGAAAACTTCAGATGCCGTTTTGCAATTTCATGAAATCATAATCTGAAGTTTAAAAATACTGAAAGGGTCAAATTTAAATCTTTCCATGTTGCTTGCAGTTGTCGTTAGCAAATCTATTATCATAAAAATATCTGTTTGAAAGTGATGCTGGGAAAAAGTGTTTTAAAATGTGTCTTGCGCGTAGTGGAAAACTTGTAACTATTGGAATTTACTCACATATATGTCAGTTTTGGACTATTGAAACCACATTAGGGTTTTCTGTTTGTTTTTAATCTATGCAGGTTGCAATTCTTCGTATGTAACGGTGTATAGCGAGTACGGTGTTGATGTATTTGATGTTAACACTATGGAATGGGTCCAGACTATTGGCCTGCGAAGGGTAAGTAATTTTCTTTGAATATAGAACTTAACTGGGTTAATTCCAAATGAGATATTTATTCACAGTGTATGCTAGGCTTGATTTAATTTTCTGCCTCCTTCCTCAAAACAGATCAGACCACTAAACATGGACGGCACACTGAATCTTCTTAACTGCGAGCCACCAAGACTAATATATTTCAAGAACAAGTTTGCAGGTGAGTACTGAGCAAGGGGAGAAATGAGACAATGATACTAAGCTAACTGGGTAATTTTAAGCAATGTTACCTTTACATGAGATGAAACTCATATTGGATGCATCTGGGTCAACATGTACCTACGTGTGTGAAATTGTGTTGTCATATTACAGCAGGAGCTGTCCTCAGTGTACCAGAAACATCTGACAATAGCAGGAAGCAAATGCTTCGAACTAGGAGCAAAAGAAAATTTGTATTTAAGGTTCCCGAGGAAGAGCGATTACAACAAAGACGGTAAGAATTTAATCGTTACATGTAACTGAATGTACTTGATGACATGCAGAGGCGGGGAATGCTAATAGTAAAAATCACTCTGTTCTTTCAGGGAGATGCTTAGAGACCCTGAGCTAAGGTCAAAGATGATTTCTAACCCAACGAATTTCAACCATGTGGCTCATATGGGACCAGGAGATGGAATGCAGGTTCTCATGGACCTCCCACTGGTAAAATACATTTAAAAGGGAGGGAGATATATGTGCATTTGTTCTTGCTCAGAAAAACTGTGAAGATGACCTGTATGGGGTTCAAATGTTATCTCTGTACCAAATTCTTCTTTTAATCATTTTGAGAAAGGTGAACCTTCCTGATGTGCAATGCTTCTTAGTCCTGTGCAAGGAAATACTATTAGCTGACATGTGAATGAGACACTGAAAGAAATAGATACCACTAACAGGAGCTTGTTAGTAGTGTTGTAAATAATCATTCTCTCATCCTTCCTTTTCCTTGTTTGTCTTCTTAAAATAACAGAATGAATTTCCTTCCCCCTCATCCTCTCGACATTCTGCTCTGATATCACCTTCAACAGGCTTTGAGCACGTCTATCACATGAGCCCTGTCTCTGCTGAAATCTTTCTCCAGAGTGACCATTCCTCACTGCAAGGCTCCCCTCTGCTTTCTTCCTCTTCCTGTCCCTCCTCTGCTTCCCTAGCAAGGGTAGGAGTAGCTACAGACTGTTAGGAACTGGAATGATGTGCTTGTGGCACTTCTCTGGTTATAGAGCAAAAACAAGGTGGGGGTAACTAATGCTGTGCAGGTAACTAAAATGCATGTAAGTTGCAGTGCTTTGTAGCATTATTTTTATTTTGTATTTAACAACTACAGCATTTTGTGAGCTATTTTTGTGTTAATTCATGAGGGAAAGGCGTGAAAGTACACTTTTATGTTCTGTACCCTCCATTTTATAGATGCTAGCCAGGCTTTCTCTTGTCCTTCTCAGCTAGCCCAGATGAGGGTAATACATTTGTCCTTTCAGCA